GGAAATTTCAGCTCCAAAAACTGAAAATGGGACAGAGTATGGGACAGTATGATTTTCCAATTTTTTTCGAGATTTTGATTTCAGTACCCCAATTTGGTTTCATACCATCATCAATTAACTGACTAATTGGTTTGTGGGCAAAAATTTCATCCAATCTGTCAAATGTGCGTTCAGAAATTTTCATATCTGAAAATAGGACAGAGTTTTGAAAATACAACTTTTCGTTTTGTTAAGATTTCTGCTGTTAGCTTCCTCCGACCCGAATCAAACTTCCAGCACCTCAATCGTGTCATTTGGCATCATAGTTGACTGACTAATTGGTTGCAGGTCAGAAATTCGGCCGAAACTGTAAAATTTCGGCCCTGCAAATTTCAGCCCAAAAACTGAAAATGGGACAGAGTATGGGACAGTATGATTTTCCAATTTTTTTCGAGATTTTGATTTCCAGTACCCCAATTTGGTTTCATACCATCATCAATTAACTGACTAATTGGTTTGTGGGCAAAAATTTCATCCAATCTGTCAAATGTGCGTTCAGAAATTTTCATATCTGAAAATGGGACAGAGTTTTGAAAATACAACTTTTCGTTTCGTTAAGATTTCTGCTGTGAGCTTCCTCCGACCCGAATCAAACTTCCAGCACCTCAATCGTGTCATTTGTTATATATAGTTGACTGACTAATTGGTTGCAGGTCAGAAATTCGGCCGGAACTGTAAAATTTCGGCCCTGGAAATTTCAGCTCGAAAAACTGAAAATGGGACAGAGTATGGGACAGTATGATTTTCCAATTTTTTTCGAGATTTTGATTTTCAGTACCCCAATTTGGTTTCATACCATCATCAATTAACTGACTAATTGGTTTGTGGGCAAAAATTTCATCCAATCTATCAAATGTGCGTTCAGAAATTTTCATATCTGAAATGGGACAGAGTTTTGAAAATACAACTTTTCGTTTTGTTAAGATTTCTGCTGTTAGCTTCGTCTGACCCTAATCAAACTTCCAGCACCTCAATCGTGTCATTTGGCATCTATAGTTGACTGACTAATTGGTTGCAGGTCAGAAATTCGGCCGGAACTGTAAAATTTCGGCCCTGGAAATTTCAGCTCCAAAAACTGAAAATGGGACAGAGTATGGGACAGTATGATTTTCCAATTTTTTTCGAGATTTTGATTTTCAGTACCCCAATTTGGTTTCATACCATCATCAATTAACTGACTAATTGGTTTGTGGGCAAAAATTTCATCCAATCTGTCAAATGTGCGTTCAGAAATTTTCATATCTGAAAATGGGACAGAGTTTTGAAAATACAACTTTTCGTTTTGTTAAGATTTCTGCTGTGAGCTTCCTCCGACTATAATGAGGAACCGCCATACAAAAGAGCCAGTTTGGATCCACGACATGAATATTTGTTTTCGATCTCTACGGATTGATAATTGATATGGAGATCTACAGAGAGTTATTCTGAATAACTGAATATTCAAATATTCAAATATTCGGCGAATAGACACTAGATAGTACTATCAGGGTTATCAGTATTAAATGAATTGTGATGTTTGACGGCTTGACCGTAGCTCAGGAATTACAATTTCGGTGACATACACTTATTTGCAACGTTTGAGAGTGGTGAATTGTCTTTAATATGAAGTGGTGAATTGTCTTTAATATGAATGCAATATTACATAAAATGCAATATTACATAAAAATATACAAAAATTAATTAAACGGTAAAGAGGTCAAGATGTGTTTGTCCTGTCAAGTGTCATACCACTTTACTCGTTTGATATCGTTAGCAATTTTTTTTTAAATCTTGGTGATCAGCCAAAAAAACCCGATTGTAAGATAAAAGTCTTTGCCTGCTTATCCATTATCTATAACTAGCTCTAAAAGTAACAGAGATCGTTCAAAAGGACGATCCACATGTTCGGGTTCCAAAATATGTTACAATATTTTGAACAATAAGACTAATATATAAAACCATTATATTTAATCTATCCTTCTAGTTCTACAGCTAACAAGAAAATGTTTCTTATTGTATTTTTGACATTGGTGCCGACATTGCAAACTCAAAGTGGTGAGTAAATATTACTATTAGATGGTTATTCGTTCATACTTATCTTTATCGGCAGAAATTTAGAATCTGTTTCTTCCCATCTGTTGTTTGTTTGTTTGTTTATAGAACCCGTCCCCAATCTCGTATCGGAAAATGACTAAACTCAGGTCCGAGTGTGAATACGGGTGGTACCTGCAAGAGTGTTCATTAAGCATTTAGAGTTCTGTAAAACTGCAGTTACAATTGTGCTAGAGTATTTTTAGTATATACGATTGGTATCAGATTTATATCCCTACATGCTTCCAAAATTTGTAAAGCCGTAGTACATACATATCATATTACACCGGAGCCTACACAGTGCAATCTCCTCCAGTCGATCTGCGCCGCGTATGTTTATATAAGCGCGCGGCGCAGACTGGAGGAAACCACACTCTGCAAGTTCGATCCAGTGCAATGCTACGTGTACGTACTACGGCTTCATCTCCAACTTTCTGCACAATGTACTGGAATGTTTTGAAGGAAAAGAAAGAACAACAAAAATTATATATATAAATAAAATCAGCGATTTAATGTTAGGAGGGTTTAATTCCCTGGTTTCTAAAATCAGCTTTTAAAAAAAAAATAATAAAGTATGTAACGTCGATACCAAACCGATTATTGAGCGATAATAACTGAGTAGTTGATTCCTGGGTTGCGGAGTCATTCAGATGTTCCAGTTTTTTAATGTGGTTCTTGTTCAGTTCTTGACCAGAAGTGTCTAATGAAGAAAACTCTTCCTTAAATGCTGATATAAGTCGTCTCAATCCCAGAAATTATGAATGATGACCCAGTGTAAAAGTGCAGAAATCGGCCGAAAATAACAAAGACTAAAAACAGTTAAAAAGTGACAAGATTCAAACACAAGGAAAATTAATAACTTAGAGCGTAATAAGGAATATCTCCAAACAGAGTTTTCTGAGAGGGTGAGAGGTTCTTTAATTAGAACTAAAGATTAAATGAGACCCACTAAAGGTACTAAATTAACCGGACTGCTAGCAAGGAATCGAGATTGGGAATAAAAATAAAAGCGGAATAAATTTTAAGATAATCTTCTTCCCATCTATGAATGGTCTGATTAAAGTTTTAATAAAGCCCACATACTCATAGACTGCCTAATAGTAATAAATCTAAAATGCGTTTAAGTACAGTTTAGCCATATTTGATCAGAAAATTAAAATCTTAATCCATTTCACTTGAACTTTAAGTTTAAATTGCAGGTTTGGTTCCAATCAAGAGCGTCGTCATGACAACAGAAGATACCTCATACCCGGCAACCAACCTACTCGATGGAAACTATGCAACTATTGGACACAGTATTCAGAGAAACCATTCTAATGGATTTATCATCTCAATAGAACTCCCGTCAGCATATAGAATATCCCTGATACGGGTGATTAATAGGCAAGACTGTTGTAAAAAGAGAATTATCGGATTTAGCGTGTACATCGTGGACAAGGACGGATCAGAGGTCCACTGTGGCAGTTTCACTGAAGCGAAGTCAGAATATGAGTTTATGCGGGGAGGAGTTGGAGATAAGGTTGAGATAAGAAAGGAGGGGGATGTAGGGCCAGTTAATCTGGCAGAGGTGGAGATCAACGGTGTTCCAGGTGATGACATTCTCGATATCATTCTATTTCTCGAATTTTAAATAGATTGAGATGCTAAAAATTAAAACAATTGCATTTAATAATGTATGTAGTTTTCAATGACAGGCAATTAATTGTAAATTTCAGTATGCGATAACCTCGCCCCTTGGAAGAAAGTAACATCGGAGCCAGCCCTACCAGCTCCAAACGGAGTAGAGATAACACTCAGCTGTCCTGCAGACTACACCAACAAGGCAGGTGACAAAGCCACTTGTCAGAACGGAACTTTTGTCCCAGTTGATCAATCTCCTGATTGTCGTGGTGAGTTGACTACTGAATATATGGTGCACACAAAAAAATAATATACTTCTCTTGGCTGATTCCTAACATCACGTGGAAAACAGAAATCGAAAAGTTCTACATTTTCAGCCAAGTGCTCCGTCAACTTCAATCTAGATATCATGGTAGCAGACTATGAGTTACCAGCTGAAGATGGGACAGAAATATCCTACAGCTGCCCACGAAGACAAGCGAAGAAAATAAAAGATGTCAAAGCAGTCTGCCAACAGGGTACAATCACCTTTCCTGGTGGATATCCAGATTGCTCCATAATAGGTTGGATATTTTTTCTGATTTGTTTGATTACAAGTTAAGGGACTTAAACATTAATTAATGTACTAATTTAAAACTGTTTCCTCGAACCTTTTTAGGGCCGAAAGGTTTGAGGCAGTTTTAAATCTGTACGAAAAGATATTTCAACCTTCGGTAATATTTCTTATCAGTTCATTCGATTCACTGATAAACAAGTTTTAGTTTAAATTATTTTGCGATAACATAACGAATATGCTTAATAGTAAACTTCATGTACTCCAAAAGGCAAAAAGTGATTTCGTAATATGTGAAGGGTCCCTTATTAATGTTCTTAGTCTTATTACGATACCGTGACAACGAGTTGATAGTCGGCACCAGGCGATTTAAAATAACACATTTTAAAAAGATGGGGTAGAAACAAGAAAAAGGGGCTCCCGTCTTGTTCCCTGAATTACATTTGGCATTTATTGATCCGAACCTGGAGAAAGAAAGTCTCCAGGGATGCCGTAGAACCTGGAGAAAAAAGTCTCCAGGGATGCCGTAGAACCTGGAAAAAAAGAAAGTCTCCAGTGATGCCGTAGAACCTGGAGAAAGAAAGTCTCCAGTGATGCCGTAGAACCTGGAGAAATAAAGTCTCCAGGGATGCCGTTAATTTCAGCTTAATGTTCCACGGTCATACTTTTCGGATAGTAAAACTAAAAGACACTTATTCAAATACATTTAAAGTTTTAAATAGTTAGAATAAAACATGGTTTCTCATACGAGCTTTTTGTTTCTACTTTATACTTTCATAGCAAAGCAATTAATTTGCTTTCATTCATCATTCATAATCAGTAATCACAAGCTATCCCTGCCACGACGGGAATTGTAAAATTTTACAATGAAAATCACAAAATTTCAGAAGTAAATCCTCAGATGACCAGATTGATTATGAATAACGGCTTAACTATCAATTATCTAATTTCTCCAAAAACTCAAGCTCAGCACTATAAATATTTAAACAGTGCAAGAGATTAATAAATAGCTTAATTGATTTAAAGCAAAATAATATACTGTCACCAGTAAACGATGAAAAAAAAAAACAAATAAATAACAACAATTTCTTAAGCTCTACTTGCTTATTATATTATCACAGTAGAATACCGTTCAAGAGACTTTTAACAAACCTTACCGGCAATATCTTTATCATTTTACATTCGGAAAATTTATGATATGTTTTATAGATATTTTAAATTTTTAGAAGCTTCTAACAAATTTATCGCCGATAAGATATAACTTTCAAACAATCAAGTCAGCAATAATCACTTGCAAACTACAACAGAGAAACAGGGAGCTATAGTCAGCGTTACATAGTATTTAATATATAGTAAATAAACTTATTAAGTATAACCAATCCTAAAGTTCTCATAAACTATTAACAAATCTAAGCAAATCTAATCTAATGTTATGGCACAAATATTACAATAATAAGAGTTACAAATGAGGTGCAAGACAAAAGATAAGGATAACAGCCGTCATAATTATACGAGACTTTACATAATTATGTATAAGTTACATCACAAAAACGTAAATTAAATCAGATTCAACATTTCATCAAGAAACACAACAAAATAGAAAAGTCATCAGACAGACTACAGTTTTTTCAAAAATGTTTTCTGACAATTTTTTGTTGGGTAATGGTTAGGAAATATCAAAATTGCCAAAATCTGTGTTTATCTATAGAAAATCCTATCTGCACTTAAGCCTAAAATTATTTTTATAATAAGATATAATATAACTAATTTCTATCTGTTCAACTATCAAAACCTTACCCCATTTCTATGTTGGAAGAATGAATCTTTTATCCGATTGGAAAAATATCGTAATCATAAATTTGAATCCTAAATATCTTTATCGTACAAATTAAGAGAAACAAGTAAGCTGTACAAAATAATCAATAAATAAATAACCTAGTGCAGTCTCTTATACAAAAAGCCTAAAAGACTCAGCCAATTTCTTGCCAGAAATGAAAATCAAAATATTATGTGAATTTTTTCGTTGCAAGGAAAGAAATTGGCTGAAAAGTGTACCGTTGCTGCCCTTAACATTTTTTGAAAGTTTAACGTTAGATTTGACGATCTAAGGACTATTTCGGTCACAATTTGTAAAGAGCAGCAGCGGTTAAAATCCTATATTAAAATTTCACGCAATGTATTCCAACCGGTCTAGCCAATTTCAGCCACTTCGAAATCCTACTCTCAGTTCATATTTGTAAATGTTCAGATCATGATAGTTCAGAATTTCATAGACTTTAAAGCGTTTTGTCCGGGAAAAAGGGCAAAGAACGGTCAAAAACACCCGTTACCTAAGGCAAAGAAGGAAGCTTGAGTTACTGGATAACAGTAAGCTAGCACCCTCTAGTTACTCAGGAAACTTGACAACAGTAACCTAGCAACGTATACTCTAACTAGTCGTATAACAAGGGTTCGTCGTCCTCTTGCCTCAGTTCGTCCCTGACTGGTTCCATAGGGTACATGTCCACCAAGGTGTTGCTACGCAACCGCCCACGTGTTCTTTTCCACTTTCTGTACCTGCACAGTGCACATGAAAGTTTGGAAAGAAATAAAACTAAAAGCGGAGCAGCATCCTTAAATACAGCTGCAATAATAGGGAAATGTTTGTTTTAACACCCAAGTACTCAAGTAAAATGCGTCGTCAGATCCAATTAAATCCAAAACTTGGAACCGATCCAATTAAATCCAAAACTTGGAACATACCCAACAGCTGTTGCCAGTACACCAAGAGTCACAGCTATAGACAGGCCCACTGTTACCATGGTGGTGAAATCGTACTTGTGGTCAGAATCCGTGAAAGATTGTATGACCACGTGATCAGGCGATACTGAACAACCTGGGGAGGAATGTCAGATTAGAGAGGGGGGAGGAATGTCAGATTAGAGAGGGGGGAGGTGTGATTTTAGTGTGATTTAAACTTTTACAAGTATACAAATATACAGCATGTGAGGGTCAGAGAGCTCAGGAAAACATCTTACTTAATTTTGGTAAGTATCATAAAGTAACAGTTATATTAAATCAGAAAATTGTGAGAGGGTTCTTACCCTGAGCGTTGTCATGACAACAGTATTTGAGATTAGACCGGTAGTTTAGGAAGCAGCTTGTGTTGAGTGAGCAGGGGTCTTCACACATAGTCCAGTCACACCGCTCACCGTAGAAACCGTGTCCACAACTGAAATAGTTTAAATGTTATAGTCGCCGAATGTGTGCAAGGGTTGACATTTTTCATGGTTGGACTTATAAACTAGGTTTTACGTGACCAGGGTAGCAAAATGCCAAGTAGCAGGTTTCTCAGTTCTCCTCCTACCTCCCTGATATTGACTATCTTGAAGCTACTAACCTGCAAGCTTGGTGTGACCCGGTAGAGTTACACCAGCTGTCTCCTTCACAGTAGCCCTGGTCACAACTAGACTTCTCAGATAGACACGTCCTCAGAGTGTCCAGTCCCTGAACACACCCGCACTCGCCCCGTCGTTCATCTCCCCACGCCGCAAAACACAAGTCCGAGCAACCGCCGCGGTTGTTTCGGCAACTCAACAACTCAGGGTCTGGGGGAAGGAATGATTTTATTAGTAATCCATGAAAAGATTTGAAAATACTGTTGTTGGGATATTTGTGCTAAATATATTTATGTTCGGAGACAAGTACTTGGAGTTTAAGGGGGGGTTCACCCTGATTTTTTTGTGAAACTTGGTTTCAAGATAGCAGTTGACCAACAAACTAGGACCAGAGACCGAACTTTTGAGGGGGTCCCGGACCCCAACCGCCAAACAGTGCCCGCGGGGCAGCCACGCCCATATTTGGTCCAAATTAGGCCCAATTTAGCCAAATACCCTGAACATGCCCAAAATCCAGATTTTAGGTGCTTTACTTGTAGCTAGTGGTTCCCTGAACTCGTATATGAATTTTCATCAAGATTGAACAAAAAATGATTGAGTTATGATCAAAAACCATATGACCATATTTGGGCATACGCACCAAATTTGATCGATTTTGGCCCATAAATTGGTCAAATATCAATATTTTTGAATGAAACCAACTTTATATGGAAGGTAAGCCTATACTACACATTATCTATGATTATCAGCTCAGTATCTACCTAACTGTGGATTCTGTGTTCAAATAATCGCAAAAAATGAACAAAATTGCCCATATCTCAATTCGCGATATTTGCAAAACTGACTTCGCTCAAAACAATAGAACTCAATAGGGTTTCAATATTTTTTCATAAAATTTTCAGAATCAACGTAGAATTGTCTCATGACCTTAAGTTTAGGGACAGAATTTTGAGTTAGGCCTTTAAAAAATTTGGCGGCCAAATTCTAAATTTAGCAGTGCAAATTTTGGAATTTGGCCGCCAAATATTTTTAAAGGCCTAACTCAAAATTCTGTCCCAAAACTTAAGGTCATGAGACAATTCTACGTTGATTCTGAAAATTTCATGAAAAAATATTGAAACCCTATACTATTGAGTTCTATTGTTTTGAGCGAAGGCAGTTTTGCACATATCGCAAACTGAGATATGGGCAATTTTGTTCATTTTTTGCGATTATTTGAGCATAGAATCCACAATTAGGTAGATACTGAGCTGATAATCATAGATAATGTGTAGTATAGGCTTACCTTCCATATAAAGTTGGTTTCATTCAAAAATATTGATATTTGACCAATTTATGGGCCAAAATCGATCAAATTTGGTGCGTATGCCCAAATATGGTCATATGGTTTTTGATCATAACTCAATCATTTTTTGTTCAATCTTGATGAAAATTCATATACGAGTTCAGGGAACCACTAGCTACAAGTAAAGCACCTAAAATCTGGATTTTGGGCATGTTCAGGGTATTTGGCTAAATTGGGCCTAATTTGGACCAAATATGGGCGTGGCTGCCCCGCGGGCACTGTTTGGCGGTTGGGGTCCGGGACCCCCTCAAAAGTTCGGTCACTAGTCCTAGTTTGTTGGTCAACTGCTATCTCGAAACCAAGTTTCACAAAAAAATCAGGGTGAACCCCCCCCCTTAACTGATCTGCAGTAAAGTAGTGTTATTACCGTAAACTCTCTGCGAGTCCTCCTGGAAGAGGACCAGTTTGAAAGGTCTGCTCGCTAACTTCCTCGCGCTCTCTATCCCACCTGACATTACGTTGTAGGTCACCAGCTCTGACTTCCCCTCAGCTTCAGATACCCAGTATAGGTTACCATCGAAATATTTCAGATTCTCGACGTGACTGTAAATGTAGCAATTAAGATTCAATATATTCAGATATGTAAAGTATGAACGTTCAGATCGGCTTATGACCCATTTTTGTAGCAAACCTTTGGAGTTTTTACTAAAGATACAAACTATTGAGAATGAGATGCCAAGTTAACAATAACAAACCTTATATTCCTAGCAACAGTGCTGAACTTAGTCTCGCTGGCCCCCTTGGTAGAGAAGATAGCCCTGTGGTGAGCATCGTACCAGTATAAAGTACCAGTAGTCGTATCAATAGCTAGTGAAGTGGGGAGGAACTGTGACCTGTACAATGGTCTCATACCTGCCGGGGGATATTATCAAATTCTACTATATGGTAATGTTGTCTCTATGTAGCGGAGAACGATAAAACAGATAAAATGTCCGATTTCATTCTAAAAACTTTAATATTCTGCTTCTTACTAAGTCAATTCCAAAAAACAAACTCGATATGATTAGTTAATATCAATATGCGACTACAGAACTAAATGTTGTTTAAATCAACAGATAAAACACAAACCTCGACCACTCCTAGAGCAAGTGTAGATATGAGCAGTAGCTCCAACACTACCGATCCAGAACAGATCACCACTGAAGGGGTCCATGACCAGGTGATGAGGGGTGGACTCCAACTTTACCAGTTCTACTACAGAGCTACCCTCCATATTGGACACCATCAGTCCTGCAATTAGAGGGGTATGCAGGTAAAATTAGAGTCAGCTAGAATTGGAGGGGAGGTAAATAAAAGCGGAAGAATTAGAGAATCACAAAAATAATATTTTCAGATTGTAAAGCTGAACATGCCAATCATACTGAACATAATGAACACACCAAACATGCCAAACATACTGAACATACTGAACATACCGAACATGCTGAACATACTGAACATACTGAACATACCATAGTTGGTCAGTACGAAATGTACGAACTGTACGAATTTTTTACGACTTTTGTACGAACTGACCAACTATGGAACATACCGTGACTTGTCTGATTAGTCCAGTAGATATTATCAGATACCCAGTCCACTGCAACATCAGATATGGCAGTGTTACCATAGTGATACACTTCTTGTAGTTTCCCTGACGACTCACTCAGTGATGTCATCATTATCGAGTTTAGTTTAGAGTCTGCGTACACAGCTTTCTGTTAATATGAAGTTCTCATGAAAATACTGTTAGGGTAAAAGGAGGACATTCAAATAGGGTAACAGTAAACAATATTAAACCTAAGTGTACAGTAAATAAGGGGCCATTCAGTTTTAATAGACATTAAAATGGAAAACTTTTTGAATCTTACCACGCGTCGACGGTAAAGAGAGAGTTAATTCTTGTGAAAAATTTTAAATAATTTATAACAAGGCAGAATTGTAGAAACCTGGAGTGAGAAATGGTAATCCAGAGCCAGTACATTATCCAGAGCCAGCACCTGACTCAACATGTCCTTATTAGGAGCGTTATTATCCAGTTCCCACAGCTGAATAGAAGGGTTCTGGAGATGTGCCAGCTGAGCACCGGATGGTTGGACCAGAGCCAGAAGTACTGGAGAGTGGGTTGTTTGGCAGCTCTTACCGTCGGCAGCTAGGTAGTAACCTTGTCTACACGAACACTTGCCTTCATGGCACCTGATGTGGACAAGATTAGTTACTTAATCTAGAAATGTAATCTTCAGTTTACTTTTGTTAATGGTAATATTTTCTACAGAACTGCGTTCATTGTCTTACATCAATAATATGATGTACTAAGGATATTGTCCATTATCTCATATGATTTATTGGCAACACATTTTTTCTGCATAATGCTTGATGACAATAAGCAATGTTAGGTGTAGGTATGTGGAGGGGTAACGTTTTATGACCAGATCAAAGGCAACGTTACACGACAAACTGTGTATCATGTATCGCTTCAACTTTCGCTTTCGTGTTTTTCATTCGAAGGTGATCCAGGTCAACATCACTCCACTGTGTAGCATTGTATTATGGTACTTAACTCTTTCAGTTTGGTTAACAGCGGTTTTCTGTACAATTATGTGTAGTCTTATAATATGATCTGATTACCTTTGTTGGCAGCGAGCCAGGTCACACGGTAGTTGCTCAGTACACTTTCTCTGTTCTTTATTCCAGACTTGTCCTGCTTTACACAGGAAACATTCTCTTTCGTCCTTCTTATCTACACAGTCAACCTTCCCATCGCACACCTGAAGTTATAGTGTTAAACCCTGTTATATAGTAGCTTACTATAGTGCTTTAGTAGTTTGGTCTAGTAGTACGTGTAGTGTAAGTAACACTAACAGTAGGGCGTCTCCGTTATAAAGTGCACTAAATCAGTTGACAGTTTACATTTTATTGTATTATATTACGTCGTCCTTAACTGTTAAGTCTATAGTTGACATTTTCACTTGACTGTATGGTCGCCATTCATTCGTGGAATCATGGGACTCTATGTGTGATGTGGTCAGAGCTTCCAGCATAATATTGCAATTTGAGACCATATTACTAACATCTTTACATTGAGTAATATTACATTACGACACGCTCATTGAGGGTTCCTTTCAGTGGCTGTAGGAAACAAATACCTCTACATTATAATATTAAGTGTGTTACTTTTGTTACTTGGCAACTCTTCCCGTTATAAATTATATATTTGTGATTTTAGGACGGGGTTTTACTTTTGAAACTTTGTTTTGAAGTTATGACAATTGTTGGCTTTCTCTTAAATTTACAGAAATGTTATATTTTTGTTTGAGAGGTTGCGATCACTTGTGTGTGAAACAGGAAACTCCGATGTGAAGTTTTGGTTATGTTTTATATGTGTGCCGTGCGGCAAATAGGTACAATGCCGGCCGGTTATTAATATTAACCGACTAATAGCCGGCTAACTATTAGCCTACACGTGCTTTTACACGCTCTGACCACTGATCTGACGATCCATATTACCAAACTTGGTATGATCGTCAGTTTTTCAATCTACTGATCGAATCTTTGTTAAATTTCCATTCCTTTTGCAATGCGACGATCATGATTCATAACCTTAATCTCGATTTTATTTGCATCTCATTGCTTAAACCTGTGTTGATTTGTACATTGTGTAACATAATAGACCAGACTTTGTTTCCCTAATTTAACTCCATCAGGAAACTATATATCCCATCAACTCGAATGAAGAAATAAGATCAAGCACGCCATGACCTCACCATTCACCATACCAGCAAACTTTGGAATAGAACTTCTCAAATTAAAATCAAACAATGTTACTCTAGTATCAGATGATGGGCCAATACAAGCTAGTGCCGTAATATTATCTCTGAACAGTCCCGTGATAAAGAAACGAATGCTGGAGGAAGATCAGACTGAACTGAGCTTTTATGGGTATTCAGCAGAATCAGTGAAGCTGTTCCTGAAGACATGCTACCAGGGCCGGCTAGATACGTCTGACAAGAAGAACATGTCTCACCTCCACAAGATATCCCACGTGTACCAGGTGTATTGGATAACAGAGGCTCTGCTGGAGGAGTATAGGAGCCGTGTTCACAGGTGTACTCAACACACTTACGGGTTTGAAACTGCTCTGTTCCTGTTCAAAGAAGCTGCGAGCACTCTGTTAGTTCTGAAGAAACAGACGTTTGTTGATGTATTCATACAGTCCTTTGCGGGGGTACCCGAAAGGAGGGAAGAGTTCCTTAAACTGTACCTGAAGAACCTGCACAAGTACAGCGCAGAAGAGTTGAAGATAGCTGTAGAACTATCAGGTGGAAGGGTAGACATTGTGGTGAACGCTCTAGCTAATCACATCTTGGAGTTCAAGAGACTTGACACAAACGCTCGAGGCCTGCTAAAGAACATCAAATTCTCCTATCTAGAAACAGAGCACCCTCAAGCGTATAAAGCACTATTTGACGTGCTTGTCGATAACATAAAGTACCTGGAGAATGAGGATGCTGCAATGATCCTGAAACTAAGACATGGGGTATCACTTGGAGATCCACTAGCCTGGGACAGAAACATCACTCTCGCTAATCTCTTTCATACCAGAGTGGAGGATGATTCTGAAGATGTTGAGTTCGGGGACTCGCTCAGTGAATCAGTTGGTTCCTCGCTCTCTTTAAACGATCGCCCAATCATTCAACTTAGTTCTTCAGACTCGGACGAAGACACTCCAACTACATCCAGAGTGTGCTCCAGTGACGACGGTAGTGCAGCGTATTTCTCTTCCAGAGAGGATGAGGAATCACAAGACGAATTACAACAATCAGAGGCACCACAGGATTCAGAGGAGTCCAGAAATGAGACTGATAGTGACGAACAGGGATCAGAAGAGTCTGCTAATTCATCTAATGAAGATACCAGGGACGCAGCTGGGTTTAAAAACAGGATGCTGAAACTCATGGCGAATGAAAATGGTTGTAATAACCTATACATGTTTATTGAGGATTTATGGGACTGGATTTTAAGGCAGGGGAACTCAAGACTGGATATAGATTTCCCCGAAACTATGTCCACTGTAAAGAAAATAAAGACACACAGAGGATGGTTCCCAATTTCTCCAGACTTTGTGGACCGGCTCGTGAACATTTCTCAGAACCAAAACGTAGCTCGATTCAAGGAAGCTATTAAAAACACTTCGTCCCTGATTTCAGATGATAACAATTTCAGAATAAGCAGTCGCGGTAATTACAGCATGAACTCCATTCTGCAGGGTACAGAAGAAGCCATAGTGGCGTTTGAATTTCGTCACAAAGCTATCAAAGTCTGTACACAAAAGGGGATTTGTGGGTTTTTATTCAAACTCATTTTGGGGCACGATGATGATTTTAAAATGGAGCTAGGATACAGCAAATCTGATTACAAGGACAGACGTTCCCAAGATCCTCTGAACCTTGACTTTCACGACAATCTGATGTTCGCACAGAGGATGCATATCATGGTGACGGGATTCAAGGGGACCAATTGGTCACTACCACTATCATGGGAAGGGAAACCAACTTTTGATGACAACAAAAATATTGTGAGTTGGGGTAGGCATAAGTTCAAAGTTAATGGACCATCCGGTTCGGATTCCAGTCAGGGATCCAGCATAGAGAGCAGTCCAGAGGGTTTAAATTCAAGACAGGGTACCATTGCTGGGAATTCCTCTGAACTCTATACTGATCTGGTGTACAATTGGGGTGTCCAAGATGAGGTTAGATTTGAGGTTTATTATTGTACTGCATAGTACACTTTGAGGTGAAGTTTGATATCATTAATATATTTTATGATGAGAAACGTTTCATACTCTTTTGATTGATTTCCTGGTTTCTTGTCGAATATACACTTTTAATTATGTACTTTTTAAAGTCGAATTCTGTAGTGGCATTGCCTCACGTTTTAGGCCCGCCCCGCACGAGTGCGCGGCTGTATCGTGGCTTTTGACCCGATCACTAAATGAAATGACTGTGAGGGTCACGACGTGATACAAATTCTGTACAGAACAGTAACTTATAATCTTACAGAAAACTTTATTTTTTAAATATTTCTCAGATGTTCAGAGTTGTTTATTTTATCCTTTTACAATGTCTGTGGCAACTCTCCCAAACAAAGTTTCATTCATATTGGACATTGATACACATTATAGTAGTTAACAAATTGCATTATACTTCTACACAAATTTAGGGCATTTTCTATTTTGAATGATGCGTCAATTTTTCTCTGCCGATATTCCATTTGAATTAACAAATAAATATTTCTCTTTAGTGCATGACGATCTGCAGATGGGGTCAATCAGCGTCCCTGCAAACTTTGGGCTGGAGTTCCTGCGCCTCAAGACCAGTGACCTAGAGCTTAAACTGAAAGATGATAAAACACTTAAGGCCAATGCTGTAATCTTAGCTCTCAATAGCCACGTGGTAAGAGATCAAATTATTGCAAAAGATAATCTGACGTTGGACTTCAGGCTCTTTGACAAAGAGCCAGTGAATTTGTTTCTAGCAGCCTGTTACCAAGGCCGGCTAGATACATTTAACAAGAAGTACATGTCTCAAGTGCACTTAATTTCACACGAGTACCATGTCTACTGGATTATTGATGCAGTGTTTGAAGATTTCAGAGCAAGAGTCAAAAGGTGCACAGAGCTTCCCGTACTCGACTATGAAAGCGCTGAATTTCTCTTCAAAGAAGCCGTTCAAGTCCATACAGATACGAGGAAACGGAACTTTATCGATGTGTTGATGCAGCAGTTTGGAAGAGTGTCAGATAAAAGGAAAGGGTTTCTGGATCTGTTCTGCAAGAAGATGTTAATGGAGCAGTACTGTGAGGAGGAGTTGAAGATAGCAGTGGAGATGTCCGGGAGTGAGCTTGAGAGTGTGATTAGCGCTATGGTGTATCATTTGATTGAACTGAAAGGAAAAGGTAAAGGACTTGATGACAATATTCGCTGTCTCCTTGAAAACATTAACTTCGCTTTCTTGAAAGAGCAGAATGCTAAAGCTCACAAAGAATTATTTCAAGTCATAATCGAACTCAGTCAAAATATCGAGCCAAGGGATTTTTGTATGATCATGCAACTCAGTAACGATAAAGATAACGCACAATTTTCAACATCTTGGGACCGGAACACTTCACTCCCTAACCTACTACTTCAACCTCTAGAGTCCCCATATGATAGCAGGTACGATGAAGCAGGTAATAGTAATGATGACGATAAAAAGAATGCTGACCATCAGAGTAAGCTTCAGGGCCTCAAGGAGGCCTACGAGAGCGAGCTTCTGATTACAGATGAGGAAAACATTTGCAGTGATTTCGGCGATTTATCTGTTGGACAAGTTGAAAGCTCAAGTGACGATGAATTCTACGAAAGTTTACAATATTCATCAGATTGTGACCCTTTAAGTCATCCCTATACTTCTTTAGATACAGCAACAACTTGCGAGGAAACTGAAGACATCAACGAGGAAGAATACGAGCAATCTACAGATTCTTCAAATTCTGATGTAGTTGACACTGCCGAATTCAAAGGCCGGATGTTAAAATTGTTTGAGAGCGCCTATGTTTGTAACCTGTACATGTTTATCGAAGATTTGTGGTACTGGATTCTTGATGAAGGAGGAAGGAGACTGGACATAGACTTCACTGAAACTATGGAGATGGTGAAGAATATTAGGATCTACCGTGGTTGGTTTCCAGTATCTTGTGACTTTGTCAAGATGCTCGACAATCCCACCGGGAATAAAAACCTAGAGGAGTTTAGAAAAGCTTTGGAATCGGAAGAGCCTCTTATTTGTGCCCACGGTGTTAAAGTAGATAGTCGGAAACTTTCCGAGAAAGATCACTGCATCAGAACAATGCTATTGCCAATAGTATTGCAAGGTAAAAATGAAGGTGAGGTTGCTTTCCAAGGTAATGTTGCTTTCCAATACTGCCCTCCATGTCCAGAGGCCACAGACTGTAAACGACGGGGATATTGTGGATTTCTATTAAAGGCAACCGTGTCATCAGAGGGACAGTTCCAGATGAAGATGTGCTATGCTGAACGCGATTATAAGTCTTCTGAACGCGAATACAAGTCCCAAAATAAAAACTTCCATCACCACGATAACTTGATCTTTGCGCAGCGCATGCACGTTATGTTGACCAGTTGGAACGGACCTCGGTTATGTGGTCTATCTTGGGAAGGTGCACCTGTCTTAGATGGCGAGGGTCAGATCGTACAGTGGGGCCGACACAGATTCACTGGAAACACTGAACCTCAAGCCAGCGGGAAGGGGTATAACTACACTTTGCAGTCGTCGGACAAACTCAAATTTGTTGTTTTTTATTGTACTGATTAAGGTTGATTCTGTGAACTCATATATAAATCGACCAGTTGAAATATTGCATTTATTATCGCCTGATCAAATTCTTAAAGACAAATTTGCTGTGTCATACTCTAGCTAGTATTAACTCAATGTTAATCGACATAACAAAGCCAATAATAAATTTGGATAGGTTGTTGTTTTCAATCAAATTAACAAACGATTATTTTGCTTATTAAAACTATTTTTATTCATACTTTTTTGCGAATTGATTGATATTTTTAATGCAGTTTTCAGAAAGCGTTATATGGTTTGGGATCAGAGCATTTTGTATACAGAGTACTTAATGACCGATATTAATGTAAACATATACAATTCAATTGTGTTACTCATACTGTTAAATGTTGTTTTAATATTTCACAATGTTTAGATTCAATTAAAGTCGTAACATGAAATAAGGTAAAGAAACTATAGTGCACCAGAGGAAGACTGGACGATTCCGGCAGACACTACTCATTTTTGTAGGTTAAAAAATTAAAATTCTAAATAAAAGAAAAGAAAGAAAAAAACTAACCCAAGCGTCAGGAATACAAGAACCATCACAGATGAATGTAGATAGGGATGTCTCACAAAACACAGCCGCGTCACACTCACTCTCGTCTGCTCCATCAGTGCACTGGGATAATTAATAAGTTGAGAATGATAATTTACACTAACTTATATAAGTGCTGGTAAAAGTACCGCTCCAGGTACCGCTCCATCATTTATCTATACATTTAGAATTACATCATTATGCAGTCCTTCTCCTCACAAAAGAACTAATTGAAGCCACATCTCTAATCTCAAGGTTGAATAGTGGTTCCAGGTTCTCAGGATGATGAATAAATCTCGTTACATTGATTAGCTCTCTAACACTCCTACCCTCCCCACTACTCCCCCTCCCTGGCAGATTAGAGCAGATCTCCAGCCTACAGGTTAAATATAGAGAGAGACTGATGAATAATTGCAGTGCAGAGACAGCTATCTGACTTACGACTATATAACTGCTTTCTGATTTACGACTATAACTGCCCTGCACTTCAATTAGTATACTTTCTGTTTAATGAGGTCATATTCATACTGATGATCAGAGGAAGAGTCGTACACAACATGGACCATGGTGTGTTTCACTACGTCATAATAATACGTCATAATATGTCATAATACTCTATGACTGATAACTCAATATTTAAATGAGGTCTTAACTTTCTGTTAATCATTTGTTTTTATATAAATAATTCCAAAAATTCTGTCTTATTGTTTATTTTCTATCCAAGGGGAACTGGAGGAGAGGGGGTTTTATCATGGCGGCGTAACGACCCCGCTGTGTGTCAATTACCATACATTGGACTACAAGTACAAAGAGAAGTAGATATAAAGATATAACAGTCATCAGTACTTAAGTATTACCTACTAGTCACAGTGATCCACTGCTGTAGATGTACCAATGATGTGCACCAATTGTCTGTAATAACAATGTACTCTGACAGGTGAATAAACATGGAATACAAGGGCGGTGTATTGTTTATTGAGTAGTTGCACGTGGGCAACACGTGGGCAACACGTGGGCAACACGTGCCACTTTAACGAGTGATTATAGTTCAGTACCACGATCCTGTTATCTTTTTATGGCTGTTCATAAATATAAATCCATCATTTTGTTTTGGGATCGTTCATTATATATTACGTTTCCAGTTTCATTGGAAATTTAAAAACCCTCTCCCTCGCCGTAAGCGATTTTACTCATAGCTATTGTATAGAAGTTTAAACGTAGACGTAAGCTTTTCAAGAACCCCTCCCCTAGGCTGGCTTACGTAATATGCGATTAATCCCTTCTGTAAGAAGTTGTTCTTGCTTTGATCTTTTCTCTCCTCTAGATTTATCGTCTAAGAACAAGCTATTCATAGACCCCGAAAACAAAAGTCATAGAACGTCTACCCATGCAGCAAACCCATGAATAAAAATTTTCATAAAAACTAAGAACGAACTACAGAATACAACTGTAAAATTAACAAGTACTTTATCGGAACTTTCGATAAGAATTGGTATGATCTATAATCGTAATTCCGTGAGATAAGGATAATCAAATTGCTCGATATAGATGCAAGTAAATGATAGAGCATTGAATAAGTCAATTAATTATGTATTTATTTGTTGAGATTTGTGATGAGGACTTAATTATGGTTAAATTTGACCTATCATATTGACAAATTTCTTTTGCTTGTTCTATTTCAAAGAAATGTGTCCACTACAGGAAAAAGATACCACTTCATCAGTGTGTATTTGCAGTACCCTATATCTAACCCTAATCTTAGATGTCCTTTGTACAGGTCTTTAGTACAGCTCCCTTAATCAGTAGTTCACTGCATTAATGTATAAGGGGGAGAGTTCCGTAACTGATCTCTATTCTCTACCAGTGTGCAGACCAGCAGACTGCAGGGTCTGACTATTCATTAGGGTGTTTGAGAGCACAATCTCTCTCACTTTTCCCCCACGATCAGAGTCGTTTAAAGTTCATAACTATAAGCTAATCTTTCGATGGACAGTCACACGTATAACTGTATGAATGGTCGCAGTATAAGGGCATCGTAAAAGGTAACTCGGTAGATTTAGACTTAAGACACCTTTTATCTGCGGCCCCATCGTTGATATTAGCTCTAGTAACACTACAATACCTCTCTCTCTAACAGATGCTGTTAAAACCTCATTTGAAGAATTATGTAGGACACGATCATCTTATACTTATCATATTGCCTACCAAACTCATTTACAAAAACAAAATACCTCTCATTGTTTACATGCCCGATGTGGTTATTACACTTGTTGATCGTAGCACTGGTGCGGGGTAGCACTCTGACCAGTGCTATGTAAACAAGCAGCTTCAGACTGATGTAGTATTGCAGGACTGCCCTATGTTTACTTTTGCTTGTTTACTTTTAGTCTGGAGCTTCAATGTCACTCTTATTATCCTACTTAGACAGAGTAATAACATACTGATACACTTTCTCCTTTAATAGTTTGTAGACATTGATCTCTTTCGCTAACATTATCCTATCTGAATGTTTAATGGCTTTTTGGTATATTTTAAGGCTTATTGTTGTCGTTAAGCCTATGATATTTATAGCACTTTTTATCATCATGATTAAATGTTTCACGTTTGGATTAATATAGGCCTGACTATAATTATTAATATTTGCTTGCTTGACTTACCTATTTTAAAATTAGTATTCACTTTGATTCATAATATTGAATATTATTACCTCACGTTGTACGACCTCAATTTCTAGATAGAATTGATTTTGAGATTTCATTCAAGCTATTTTTCAATGACCGGGGGAATATAGAAGTACAGAGTAATGGAGAATAATGAGAATAATGGATACATGGTATATACCTCATATTGAATAATGAACCGATAAACTTTAAATTTGGATAGTTTGCCCCATCCTGCATACAGTATACTGTCATTACTATTTATCATCGACGCGCGTTGCAATTAAGCTTTAGTACTAGGAGTGCAGTTGCATTTAGAACTTGGATTTATGACTTCACTGAACTAACCCTTTCTCTCCAGCACCATGGTTCACCTGGTAACCACAACAGTACTCCTACTCGGCTCACTGCTAACTCTGACTGAAGGAGTCTGCAAGACAGACGCCCTCACAGCAGAAGAGAAAGCAGTAATGGACGCGCACAACAAGGTTCGCGCACTGCACGTGGACACTGAACCACTCTGTTACGGAGTCACTGGAAATGATGTCACCTTCACCGCTCAATCCTGGACAGATAAAATAGCTGGGGATAAGGCAATGAAACACAGCAGTGGGGGAACCTACGGAGAGAATCTTGCTACAGCGGGGACGACAGGGACTGTCCTGGCGAAAAGTCCAGCCTACGAACAATCTACTGACATGTGGTACGATGAGATACAGTTCTGGGACTACACCACCAACGCAAAGAAAGTCTCCGCTCCAGCTAACAAAGCTACAGGTCACTTCACCGCGGTAGTTTGGAAGAACACTAAACAGTTGAACTGTGGTTACGCAACTTACGAAAACGACTTCAACAACTACATGGTCACGTGCCAGTACTTTCCACCTGGTAACTACAACAACGACTACGCTAACCAGGTCGCACCTCTCAAATCAACTGAGAAGAAAACTTGCAACAAGCCTACTGTGGCAAACGGAGCTGTGACACCTGACACTGCTACAGTGGAAGAGGGAGGGAAATACACTGTGACTTGCTCTGGTGGAAGTATCCTTCAAGGAAATGTGAATACCTTCACTTGTGGTTCAGATGGGAATCTAACTCCAGCTTCTATCACTTGCAAAGCAAAAGAGAAACCATCTTGCAACAAGCCCACTGTGGCAAACGCAGTCCTATCCCCCGCTACAGCTACAGTTTTGGAGGGAGACAAATACACTGTGACCTGTTCAGAGGGACACATCCTCGAAGGAAATGTGAATACCTTCACTTGTGGATCTGATGGGAATCTAACTCCAGCCTCCCTTATCTGCAAAACACAAGAGAAGGAGACTTATATTTGCAACAAGCCCACTGTGGAGAACGGAGTTCTTACACCCGATACAGCGACAGTGGCGTTGGAAGAAAGCTACACTGTCAAGTGTACCGATGGCTACAAACTAAAGGGGGATGTTGATACTTTAAAGTGTGGTGGTGACGGTGGCTTCAAGCCAACTTCACTTACTTGTGATAAAGAAAGTGGTGCAGGGAGAGTTGCTCTTTCAGCACTACTCGTGGCTGCTGTTGCTGCCCTTCTTCAGTGATTCTTCACGGTTATTGAGTTTTTGTCTGCCCATACACTATACAGAAACAGGCAAATTGGCGAAGAGATTTGGTCATGAGGTCTAAAGTTTGAAAAGAACTAACAGTTGAACTTAACTTAACAGTTGCTATTCTCGTACTCGAGTACGTACTATTCAGTTCCACGCTTAATACTCGAGAAATATTGAAGAAATCAATGTGCTGTATATACGAAATATTATCTATTACCAATATCATGACTATTTAGTATTTGTCAGATCAGATGATAAGTCATAAAGTCATAAGTATATCTTATCACAGGATAGAATCAGGAAATAATAAAAACTCCAACTTGTTCACCACCCCATTTACTGGAAGAGTGGAAGGGGGGATTTACTTGAGGGGGGGGGGGGGGGGGGCAATTTACTGTTCCAATGACGTATGAACGTTATACCAAAGGTCCTAGTGAAAACAGAATCAAACTTCGTGTTACCGGTCAATTACCTCGTTTATTCCGTTACATTTCATCTCATCAGTAATACAGGTACCGTCTCCGCACCTCATCTCGTCCTCCCGACAATCAGTCACTAAAATAGACTGTGTTATTATCCGAGCGACTTTAAAATTGGTGATATGAACATGACCCCATGATGGGTACCAAGTCCAACTCCAATTTATTGGTTACAATCGTTAATATACCATTTCTATTATAAATAATAAATGATAGGATAAATGATAAGACTTGTTTTTGTCATGCTCCTGGTCAGGGCAAATCAATTATGATCCTAATCGAATATTAATAACAGTAACACGAAAAATATCATATGATCATGATAACCGATGTTTCTGTGGAAAATTTCTGATAATTCGACAAAGGGAAAATGCTCGTATTATGATGATTATTATGAAAAATACCGTATGATTATGATTAGCGATGTTTCTGAAGAAAATTTGCTCGTATTATGATGATTACCTGTACAATTAGCTTCATCAGACTCATCACTGCAGTCAGCCTGACCGTCACATCTCCACAACTTGTTTACACATCTCCCTGAGTCACACACCTGTAATACAAGGTTATGAGCAGGTTATCTTTCCCAATAAATGTGAAGCTGAAGTGAACCTATTTTAAGGTTGCTTCTGGCTAACATGAGATTCTCGTGGTTCAACTATAAGGGAGTGAAACTAAATTGGACATGTGACAAATTATTTTATATTTTATACTTGATAGCAGTACTGTAAAACTGATATGGATCAAGGAATTGTGTAGTATTGTATCTTGCTCATTACTTGATCAAGCATTATATTATGATATTCTCTAGTTTTTGCACCGGCGAATATCAAATTGTGCACATCGTAGACAGTGAACATGAATACTTTGCAAACAAGAAGTTTTACAATCATGATACGGCACAGGAGTTACCTCAGCACAATAAATCATGACAGTTTCTGGACAAAAGATGTCTGAATCCGACTAAGAATGGAATTCTCAGGTCCGTAAATTGGGTTGGGAACAATATCCTGACAGAACTTGACGCCGTTTATTCACACTCTAATTCTTTAAATGTTCACTTTTACAAGATTTAATAGATTTACATTAACTTGTCGAGACTTACAATCGCCGACTAGGTGGTCTGATCCGTTACAAGTTAGTGGTAAAATTATAACTTTAAGTTATTCAAAGGGAGACTATGAATAACCAAGTAAAGCTGCGAAATAGTACGGGTATAATTTCATAACTGTGTTCTTCCACGAATATTCAAAAGCAGGATGTCATCTTTAACTACGTGTGTTATCAACTTTTTCTAAAAGGGATCAAAATAGAAGGTTCAGTGTACACGGCACCTAGTACCTACGATGTCAGATGTATCTAAAATATACTCAGAAAGTACCAAGAAAATAAAAAAACAATATCAAGAAAATACCTCAGAAGTAAAATGTACAGTATACAGTACAGAAGTACGCTACACTGCATTCTTAGTACTTCAGTACTACGCTAAACAGTACCTGAAGTGGATGTCTGTGTTACAAGATGTATCATGACAAGCTGAGTAGGTCTCGTCAGTACCGTCCGAGCAGTCCGTCTGTCCGTCACATACCCAGTTCTCTGGTACACACGTGTTATCCGCACATGTGAACATCTCACCACACGAACTGAAGTTACATAGTATTAGTTAATTAATAAAGTCTGTGTTGAATAAACATCTACTTTCAAGAGATGAAATTTACAATAAACGCTTAAATTGAAAATGTCCCTGTTAAATAGAAATCTCGCCACACGACCTAAAATTTAGAGCCTGCTAAAATTAGAATTTCCCAAGAATTGCTATGTATAATTTTCAAGGTGGAGTTAATATCCGCATTCCTATCATCGCATAAGTTTTTAGCATTAGTCGAATGATAATTTTACTTCTGTAGCCACTCCATATTGGCTTATTGGGTATTATGAAAATTGAAAAAATGATATGTTGAACGTTTATAACATTAACTGTGACGTAATGCTTTAATTAGGAGTGAGACTTCGTGTCAGTTAAGCTGCTGGATGATATAAAAAACGTTCAACATATTCTATTAAAACAATAAAAACATATTTTTTTAAATTTTTAATTCATTTATTAATATTAATGAATTATATATATGCTGCTAAAAAACAAGCACCCAATCTTTCAAACTTTGTGGGAAAACGCAATTTATAAGAAAATGAAACTACAAATAAAAATACTAGAGAATACTACAAATTGACTAGTTGATATGATGTACCTGTCTGAAGGGAACTCTGTCTGGGAGAAGACCACATTTCCCAGAGCCACAAATATCGTCCAGATAAACATCTTCAAACAGAGAAAGTAAATAGGGCGTTGATGGTGCAACTAGCAACGCCAATACGCCACCATAATACGCCGCGCCCCGACCCCTCATTTCAATGATAAAATATGGCTCATGGTGGCATGATGGCAGCCTGGTGGCAGCTTGGTGGCACTTTTCAATAGTTTTAAAACAAATTTATCAAAATTTAAATACATTTTAAGAGACATTTAAAAATAGTGTGTGTAACAGGAATCATATTGTTGGGTTGGTCAGAAATAGAAACAGAACTGATCGAGTTCGTCAGAAAACTAACGGGAAAAAGGCAACGAACTCATCACTAGGCAAAATATCAAACAGAAAATGTCAGAATTTTCAGTTTTAAACTAAAGGATAAACGTGTTAGATAAACTGGTAACAACAGCTGCAAACTATCAAAAACAGAGTACACTGAAAATATTTAGTCGATATTTTAGTCTATAGATTGCATCACAGCTGAATAGTTTCCTTGGATACCGAACGCGGACATGAGTATTCACAATAGTAACTGTTAGAATAAGACAAATCAAGTGGCAACTGAGATTGGGGCTAAGAAAAAAGTCATGGGATCGATTTAGATGGATGTATTTATATATTGAAAATTACTGAATTAGTAGCAGAGTTAGATTATGGCAAAACGTAGGGCGAGCCAATACGACAAGGTATTGATATTATGCTGATTCAGATTAGTGCTGTAAATTAATTATAACCGACTCCGAAGACGATCTCATTGATTTGAGAGATCCTGGCCGAATGGTAAGAGGCACCACCAAATCAGCTTCAACACTTAATTGAAATAGTTAATGTTAGGATCTTGTTGTGTCATAGACAAAAAAATAAATTCTGAATGCATCTGTGACAATTACAGGTGACCGCAATAATTTATCTGATGTGAGAAATTAAGGCACACAAATTTTAAAGATCGAGCGGCTTCGTAAAAGTTTAAAACTAATTACAACACTACCAATATATCACATTTATTGAGCATTACGTAATGGAATGGACACATTTTAACCATGGGTATACTAACAATACTAATAGTCCAAACCCTAGTTAAATAATATGAATTTGTTTCACGTCTAAATTAAAACCTCTAACATAGATTAAATTAGAGTGGTCTCCACTTCAGAAAATCGAATCATCATAATAAATTTCCGATAGATTTTCATAGCAGAGACTTTTAAACGATACCAAGATAAAACAATTAATTATCATTTTGGGGCAACTCCAATTCTCTAGCGCTCATTTCTGGCACTGAAAATTCCAGCAAAAGCCGGGAATCTTAAAATTGGTTGGTATGTACTAGGTAATCGATTTTTAAACAGAGCAGAAATTGAGAAATGATCGACTGAAATGAAATGGTGCTAAAATGATAATCTGGAAACGAAGATCAGTATTCCAGATTCCAGGACATCAGTTCTAACACATTATTAAAGCTTAAAACCAGCTCAAAAGGTCTAGTTTCAACTAGAACTTCACAATGTTAAAGCGATAATTAATAATAACAAGAATGAAGATGAATAATACTTCTTAAGAATGATCGATAACTATTCGTGACTATTGATCGCATGCAGGACCACCTGTGCTGGTCCCGGCTCCGATAGGACTCTAACTCCGCATGGAAATGGATATCGTGGACATAAGATGGCACAAACGTGGCAATATCAAGCAGACATTTAACAAATTCCAGCCCTAACAAGCAGCTTTACTAAACAGTATCTCAGCTTCAAACAACAGTAAACAGTAGCTAGTTTTCATACTCTCCCCTCCTCCACTGGCAGGGAGAGGCTGCTAGCTAGCGGTCCACTGGACAACCAATCAGCAGGGCCAGTAGGTGGCACGTGACCCCTCGTGACATCGGGGTGGACGCTAAGAATGCGTTAAAGTAGACGTATTTAAGTGAATGGGAACATTCAGGATGACACAAAGACAATTAGCAACATTATAACAAGCAAAAAACACGATCAGAGCAACTCGAGCAGAAGTAAATAAATAGCACGCTTTAAAAACACGGCTAGAGAAATCTAATTAAGGCTTTAAGAACAATCGAACTGGTGGGCATTGGTGCCACCGTTCGTAATCGTAATCAGGACATTTCAGCCTGACATAGCGGAGGGATCCCTCCGGCCTCCCGGAACAGGTAATCACATTTGTCTCATTCTCACCTGCCAACTATTAGCACACCGGAGGTAGATAGGCGCAGTGGGATTAATATGAGGGGGCACTAAGTGGGAACAAGGAATTAATGTAAGGGGTGACTTTTAGAGAGGTATTTTAGGGGGGAATTTTAACAGTGTTACTGTTATCAGCAGAGCATGCTCCAGAACAATCACTGCGATGTTTGGGTAGAAGACGCTTCATTAAGAGGAGAAGAGAAGGAAGGAAGGAGGAGAGGAAGGGAAGGAGGAGAGGAAGGGAAGGAGTACTGAGAGGTATATTAGGATCTGTATAGTCACACGCTATGTCACTGGTATGTGACCGGTATGCAGTGTAGCTACAGGATGTTAGGACCAGATATTATTAGGTATTAACAAACTACGGTTACTATACATGAGTGCTCAGTGTCCCATTTCATGGATTATAGGGCTCGGTCATGTGCACACTCAATACAGGGCTGCAGGCTCCTGGTTTTTTAATAGAAATGAGGCAATTTGGTTAACAGCTCGTGCCGTTTTCCATTAATAACATGAGACAAGATCATTATCTGTAGTAATGAAATACATGTAATACTCTCAAAACGCAGCTACCAACTTTAGAATAGTGTTGGTATAGAATTAGTCGAGCTAGAACTGCCAAGGATATCCTCTTACTGGATAACTATTTGAGTTCAAATAATCACGGGTACAAGAAACAAGGCTGCACTCGGAGTTCTAATAATCACGGGTACAAGAAACAAGGCTGCACTCAGAGTTTTTTATAAAATGCTTTTCGAATTTTACAGAGTACAGCAATAAATGATTAAAAAATAGAGCCGTTTGAAAATATTGTCCCCAGCTGTAAAATATGATGGGCACCTAAAAATAGGAAACAAATAGTGAACTATGTCCGCAATTACTTGGACCCATTTCATCACACATAATCTGAGTTCAAATAATCACGGCCAGACGCGAAACGAGCGTGCAACCAAGAAAAATGTAAGAGGCTCAAACAGGGTTCCGCCACCACGTTATCATACAGTCATAGCAGAGTGACAGTTGATACCCGCCTACTTTAACATATAATCACATATTACATAATTAAGGAAACTTATTTACATAATTATAGAAACGTTACCGCGGTTTTCCCGCGTATTTCAAGACTATACATACGATCAAGCTCAGAAAGTAGAAAATGATCTGAGATAAACTTAAAGTAAATGTAATAAAGTAAAGTTTAAACACCTTTTAACATGACACAGCTACTTCAAATGTAATTACTTTGTCAAGTTCGAAACCACAGATTTGTCCGAGATGAACACGAGGAATTCACAGTTCAATAAATGACACGCAGTAAACTAGCACTAGACGATCATGTGTGCATCAAAACGAGTTTAATTTGGGTCGATGTAGACGAGGTAATAATTATTAAAATATATAGGATTGGATCACAAGTCCAAATTAAGATGGAATTAAATTAAGACTTATTCTCATCTAGGAAAGAAGTCAACAGGGTGGTGGTGTGTATGACGGTGGGGCGCTGCACATACCGGCAACATTCCAACCAATTGAATTGGCGTAACAATAAATTAAATTGGTGCAAAAATTAATCTAATTCTAATCTAATCGGCAAAGTGAGTAGCATCCAACTTTGATCGTCCGACATTCCGCCTCTTTTCAACCTCTAATACGAAGCCTTGAACGTAACCTTACACCATAACCATAATCCTGACTCTACCCCAACCCTAGCCCTGCCCATGACCATAACCCTAACTCAACTCTAACTCAACTCTAATCCGAAACTTAACCAGGATCCTAATCCAGTAATCCTAGCCAACAACTTTATAGAAAATAGCAAGAGTCGAAATGTCGAGGGGTATGATTACCGGTCTCCTCTGACAAATACCTGTTGATACAGTTGATCTCGTCTAGTCCGGTGGAGCAGTGTTTCTGTCCGTCGCACACCAGAGACCGGTCAAGGCATGATCCATCACAAAGTAGCTGATCTGACCGACAAGTCACGTTTACTGGGGGCAAAACGTCGGGTAAATATCTGATAAACCACAGGTGTGTAAGGGGATTGATAGCATTGTATCCGGGTTAATTTATTGGCGATAAAACTTAGTTCCACGCCAAAGTATCAGTATTGAGAGAGTAAGGCTTAATGTTGCGATCCTGCTTAAGTTAGGGTCCTCAACAACTGAAGCTTACCTGATATCTCAGGTGCTGGCTCCTGGGTCACTACTATCTGGAATGATGTAATCCCACTGTGATGTGACATACCAGATTGCAACATCCCGGTCAGTCTATCATAACTTACTATCTTTACCGTGCGTTGGTTCAGGTAGAACAGGTAGTGCTCGAATATTCCTATCCTGTAATAAATAACTATGAAATCATATCTAGTGATTGTCTGAATAGCATTCTTAAACGGGTTATTATATATTATAAAAGAATGTATAAACGGGTAATTTCATATTTGAATGATGAGTGAATCCAAAAATACTCAAATTTTTTCCAAAAATAACTTCGTATAAATAACATTCTACGTTTAAGAATAGTTTCATTGAAATACGTACCCAGAAAAAACACGGGAAATGCTCATACGGGCCACCCAGAACCTTCAATTTAGCACAAATCTAATTATTCACATATCTAATTAAAGTTGTAATAAGACAATGAATAAGACTCACGCCTGAGGGTACGATATATTCCTTTCGATAACGTGTGACTGTGAACTGGGGGAGAACTGATCTAGATAGTAAACTTTACTGTTCCTCAAGTCTGACCAGTACACCCTGTCCAGCACTTCATCAACCTGTAATAAAAGTTAGAAGTGAAAGAGAAGGTTAAAGGGAGAGTAAAAGTGAAAGAGAAGGGGAGAGTGAGAGTGAAGGTGAGAAGAGGGTGAAATGTGAATATCTTGGATGTCTAAGTCTTCGGTGATCTCAGTAATTATTGCTGATGTTGGGGCTGCCTTACAACGTATATTTCAAAAACCAAATACGCAGCTCATTGCTCAATATGATTATACCAACATTTATATTATTTGAATATTTCAACTTTACAGCACTATCAATGACTATTGTCGAATTTCAAACCTTTTTATTATTGTTTTATAAATATGGAAATAAATATGTTCAATATTTGAGAGGATACTTATAAGGTACTTAGTCGAGATGGCGGACCATAGTTTAATACAATTCTATCCCACATAACATGTTTATTGTTTAAGCTTTAATAGCGACTTAGAATTCTAAGTCCATTAATGGACGAATTTGACGTTAAAGTTTGTTGCCATGGTAAGTATGGTGACGAGTCCACACTAAAGCCCAATTTATCATAATTTAAAAGGCTTGCCACAGACATGAGTAATTTAAAAACATTTTAACGACCCAATTTGTCGTAAGTCTCGATGATAGGTCTCAATGGTTATATTCGTGTAATAATAACAGGCACCCCTTCTTTATTCTCTAATTCAGCAAAATGATCCGAATAACAAGATGTTCTAGCTGATTCGAGAGCAGGGGAACCACAATGCTGACATTCGGAGACTTTCTTTCTGATAAGAGAATTAAGATGCAGACCTAGATAATTTGAGTCAGTCTCTTCATGACAGGCGTGAGTAAAAAGGTCGACCAAGTTCCAACAGTTTTACATAATTTCCGCTCGCTGTTTGCTCCAGATTATGTAAGATTAAGTATACTTCTCTTCAATCTTGATCATGTTGGTTTGTCAGATTTGGCTTGCACAAGTACTTGAGAATGTCGCACTGACCACAAAAGGAGTACGGAGAAAGATTTCTATGACAAATTATGGAATTAGAGTAATGATCGTAACTTTTTATTAGTATTAACTTTATCAACCTGAGTTTGTTCACGTCTTTACGGTCTTTAGTTGCGGGGGAACCCCTCTCACCTGTATAATTAGAGACGTGTTCCTGCGGTCTACCTTCCCTCTCCCCTTTACTCTGAGACAAAGTTTCCTTCTTTAGTCATGGACTAGAATTGCTGGAAGCATGTCAGAGAGAGCCCCTCTCTGACACGATGTGATGGCCATTGGCCATGTTAAAGCTTAACGAATCTCCACACAGGTAACATAGGTGTTTGGGGCCTATTGGATCCGGATAATCACTAGCCCATCTAGTGATACCCGATACCTACCCTGTAATTTAGTATCGCATCCCTTGAAACTATATTCCAGAACTTTACTGTCCGTAATAGTCAACATTTCTTTGTCCCTACTTAACTTAGATATATCAGAAGCTTGGAAACGAGACTTGGTACAGAGGAATAGATGAAGCCTAGAATCATTATCCTCATAAAGTAATAACACAGAGACATCAGCTTATTGAGATAACATATTACTTCAAGTGGGAGCCTGTGAGCCAGCATATCAGTTCTACATAAGTGGGTGATAAGTGGGTGATCAATTCTCATAATCTGTAATCTGTATACCCCTGAACCGGAATTAGGGTTAATCGTGGAAACCAGCTAATCAGCTCATGATCATGCTCAACCTCGAAACTGGGTTAAATTAGAAACATTTACTAGAGACGAGGAACAGCTGTAATCTCCCAAAACTTGACGCACACAGCAGTAAGTTATTAACCACCTGAAATACACTGAATAAATTAAAATAACTAACCGCTATGTCGGATATCATCTGGTTGCCAGTTTGATAGACATAAACATCAGTAGCAGACTGGTCACTTAGTGACATCATCTTCAGACCCTGACCGTGGACACTCCAGTAGAGGACACCTCTCTTGGAGCTGATAGCCAACGCGTGTGGAGGCAGGGTCTCCAGGAACCGGACTGCAGTCGAGCCGGAGTAGTCTCCTTGCATGATCGCCTGTAAAGCAGCGTCAGTTTTACTAATCATGAAGCAATTTATTGATTAATTGTTATACTAATTATCTAATTATCTAATTATCATACTAATAGACGTGGGTTTAAAAACGTAGAACTAGAAGTAGTTGTTTTAAATCCCCGAACTGAACTTTAACACTTACCATTTCATTCTGGTCAGACCAATAAATGTGTGAGTTTTGGGTGTCTAAAACCATCGTATCTGTTCTTACTCCTTTGTAAAGCACCTGCAGAATGCAGATGACGAATGGGTTAAAAACTCTCAATACTGAATTAGTCATGCGTCCATACTCGATATGTAAATTTTTTAATTGGACTGATTTTATTTTTTAATTCGTAAAATTCCGAATCTTCGTGAAAAATGCCCAGATTGAAATCGTCAATAATATAAGTGGAAGTTACCGTGGTTAGATTAGAAACAAGGTCCAACTTATGAACATTTTGGGACTTGGTGGTGTAGAATATCAAGACACGCCCCTCAGAATCCACCCCGAACTGAGTTATCTTGTTCTCACTATCTTCTACCAGGGTGTGAACACCATCTTCTGAGTTCATGTATATTCCCTCGTTTGTAGAGTAAACCAGGCTAGCAATCTGGCGAGCTCCTGAGAAAGGGGTGGGAGGAATAAGTACAACTACAAGTAAGTTCTTATCTTCAGCAGTATTTTATTTCAAATTTGTGGGGGGGGGGAAGTAAATATAGACAAAAAGAAGAGATGTATTACCAGCGAGTCTGCATCTGGAAGTGTCCTCAAGAAAGTATCCGTCTGCACACTCACACCTGAACCCTCCTTTGTTATTTAGACAGAAGTGATCACATCGTTCTGGTATCTCACTACACTCGTCAATATCTGAACCAAAATGTAAAGTTGGTCTCAATTTTTAGAAAGTTGTGTCATTTATTCGACGCAGGCCGCAGCCCTCTTTGTCTTTGGTTACCATTAGAGAAACCTAGCTTGATAGAACAAAAACCAATGGAATAAAAAGCATCGTATCTTACCAGTACAAGTGTGGTTATCAGAGCTGAGCTGGTACCCAGGGGGACAGAGACAGTAGTATCCGTCTATCTTATCCAGACAGGCGTGAGAACACTCGTGAGTACCCAACACACACTCGTTTACTGAGTAATTTAAAAGTTACATCTGGAGTCAAAATTTACAGCTGAAACCATAATAAACCATGGTCATAAACCATCAACTGGATCGACAAAACAAGTAACTGGAGCCAAAGCCAAAGCCAGAGTCAAAACAAAACGAAACCGTTGGTCAGTGGGGAGGTCTGTAGGTTTTTGTTGCGTCTGATAATATAAAATACTGTGCACTGTGGTAAACCGTTCAGTACTCCAGTCACCACATTGTGAAATTAAACCGTGCATATCTATCAACAAATAGGAACACATTTACAGAGTTTTGTGTCTCCAAGTAAATGCGTTAGTGAGCGCGTCTGTTTATTTGTATCTGTCTGCAAGCTGGTGCGTGTCTCTTTGTTTGTATGTATGTATTGTGTATGTAAGTGCGTCTGTTAGTTTGTGCTCACCTCCACAGTGTACCTCATCGCTACCGTCCATACAGTCTATAACTCTATCACACTCCTTTTCAGCGGGGATACATTCTTGTGTTAGTTTACAGATGTAACCGTCACACCCATCATCACAATCTGAAAAAAGTGATGTTACTAAATATTTTAACAATGCCGAGATCGGTGAAGTATGAACAATTTCGATCGAAAAGAGATTTAGAATTTGTGGTCTGTTTAGTACATGCATGGTAGTAGGAATACAGAATTCATGGGGGCAGTTTACAATATATAAACAAGATATTGATACGATATTTATAAGATATTAGCAAGATATTAACAAGATATTTATATCTTGATAAGATATTAACAAGATATTTTCATCTTGATAAGATATTAGCAAGATATTTTTATCTTGATAAGATATTAGCAAGATATTAACAAGATATTAACAAGATATTATCAAGATATTAACAAGATATTTATATCTTGATTAGATTAGGAACCTTGTTCGTCGGAGTGATCAGTACAGTCGTTCATCCCATCACAGACCCAGCTGTCCTCAATACACTCTCCACTTCCACACTTGTAGTGGTCACACTCCAAATCTGAGACAGAGACAACATTTCAACTCTTCAGGATAAACATTTTTATCACTTATAAATAATGAAAAAATGCATCGTTGAAAAATGAAATATCTGATAAAGATGAGCGAGGATTCAAAACTGACGCTTATTTGTTTGAGAAGTTAAATTTCCATATTTCAAAAACTTTTTATCCAAAATTATCAAAACCAATTGCTAACCTCCTTTTGGGAACCCCTAAAATGTTGAAATTGGCCAAAAAATGACGAAATTGCTTAAATACCTCAGATTTTGGAGTTGACTTAGGCACTTTTGCTATTTGTCATAAAAAATCAGAACTTACGTGCACACAAAATGGCGTGTTCATCTTCGTCTCCGAAACAGTCAGATTCCCCATCACATATGTAAGATCTCTCTATACACTTCCCGTTACTTGTGCACATAAACTCGGAATCCGTGCAGTTTCTTGTGTCTGTATAGAGTGAGTATTAGTGAGTATATATTAAACATTTGTCCGTTAGGTTTATAATCAAAATGTTTTCTTAAATTGTATGGTAGAAAATTCCTTATCCGATCAGTTACTAAACAAGTAACTGATCGAGAATAAACTTTTTAAAACTATCAGCAGTCAGTCAATGAAGTAAACTAGAAAGCAAGACAAATAAAATCTAAGTGAGATAAATAAAATTTAAGTAAGATAAATAAAAACTAAGCGTTAAACTCACAGCACATGGTCTCGTCAGAAGAGTCTCCACAGTCGTCTGAGTCGTCACATAAGAGGAGGAGAGAGACACATTTCTTATTGTCACATTGGTACTCCTCCAGCGTGCTACAGTCTGGGTAGTGGAGGATTTTCAAACACAAGGAAATGTTTTTAAATAATTCAGTTATTGGTTATACCGTCCTTGATGAATCAAAACTTTCCATGAAAAGTCTCCTTGATAAAATAAATTCTCTTTTTTTAATGCGTTAAGAATTCAATCGGAAAATAAGCTCGTTGAAGTTGTATAACAAGTATTGAATTAGATTAACAGCTTATGTTAGCAAACGTTTGTACTTCAAATGCATAAGTGGTCGGAGATTGTACTTGCTACTATACAAGCGGTTAAGCGACTTAAACTGTAATACTTCAACAGTTCTGCAGCTCTTGTAGCTATCCTCAGTTCGTTAATTATTTCCAAGTAAGCCACTGAAAGCTTAATGTTCGCTCGATAAATAAGATAATGGTTTTAAAATAGCACGTGGTTTTACAATGCGTGTCTAGAACAGTCTTGAACATTCCGGTGAATGTTTTATAATTTTATTGTTAGCTTGTACGTATAATATGCATATCTATTCAATCTAGACAAATAGACAGTACGTTTCGTTTTCTTCTAATTTTCTTACGCCAACATAGTGAGATAACACTCGCCAAACATGGAGTTTCCTGACCTGCCTACTGCTACTCGACTACCAGGAGTTGAGGAGATGTGGACTGGTTACATTGCTACTGGAGGGGAGGTGGCAGTGCTAGTGATAACATCGCTTGTTCTAGCTCTAGTGGCGGTGTTTCTTTTCTTTCTGCACAGATCAAACGTTCTCATCACATTCAGCAGGTATGCAGAAACCGTGATCATCATTTTTAAGTTCGGAGTAGTCTCCAGCCATAAAGATTATCATTAACTTCACCAAACAAACGGACCTATATTTCAGATTATCTTCGGAGGATGGTATCTCTCCTAGTAAACACTCCCTGATAATCAGTGGCATGATCCCCACACTGTCCCTCTGTTTAACATGTACTTCAGTGTTACTACCCCGGTCCAGTCTACTTCTACTCTCCTTCAGTAAACTCAGCAGAGTAGCGTGGTGCTACCAGGTGCTGGTGGAATGTATCAGAGAGTGTGGAGGTCAGGTCTGTGTCTTCAGACTCACCAGACTCACCCACTCCAACACCTCCATCAGGGAGTACAAGGGGAGACACAGTACTTTGTCCCTGTCCGTAACTCTCCTAACTGTGGAAGTGTTGTTGGTCTCCACACTTCATCTCCTCCTTCTCCTCCTCTCCTACAACACCCTCCAGCCTATCTACCCTCACAACCTTCTCCAGGCAGACACTCTCATACTCTGCTACTACTCTGGTGTGAGTGTGGCTGCGATACTGGGGGTTGTGGCTGCTTGTAAGGTGGTTGGAGTGATGAGTAAACCTTGGAGAGTGGTCGCGGTCGTGAAGGCGGTGTCACTGGTGATGCTGGTAGGTGAGGCGGTGATGACGATGATGGTAACGGGTGATGAGTGGAGGGATTCAGCTGTGGTTTTCTTAACGAGAAACTGTTTGGTGACTGTATTGATACAGAGTGTTGAGTTGGTTGTGATTATAATTCTCGGTAAAACTCCGCTGAAGAGAGCAAAACAAAGTGTCCGGTCTGTTATGATGGCAGAAACAGAGCTATCAATGGGAACAACAAGCCTCGACAACAACACAGGAGGCATCAAATTGAGGCTAAACAAAGAAGATTCAGTAGAACTACTGAGAGCTCTCAACCTGGGAAGGTACCGTTCTGACGAGGGACTGAGAGTGATGTTATCTACTGATCGGTCTAGAAGACACCACAACTCTCTGACATCTGTAGCTACTGTTTGTTAACGAGCTGATAGAACTTAAATTATGTAATTAATGGTTCGGATATTATATAACAAGATATTTCAGTGCAAATCGAATGATGCATTTTTATCTTAACTGTTTTCAGAAGGTATTCCACATTTGTATAATCATGAAAATTACCTTTTAAATCGGTATCCTACTGTATAACGAAAACATAATATTTAATTTATATTCACATGTAAATTGCTCTTCTTGATCTTACTCTAACTGAGTTCCGTATCACAATTTGGGAACATTTTATAATTTTAGAACTTGTAAAATCATACAGAGCATAACCAATCCCACAAATAAAAAATGTATCTTATGATATAGATTATAAACTTTGTTTAGATTCTAACTTTAAAGTAAACAAGCTATTAGTTGTAGTATTAGTAGCACAACGAGTAAGTAAGATACAACTGAAGAGTAAGTACTCACTGCCACAATGTTCTTCATCAACTCCGCTGATACAATCTCTAGTACCGTCACATCTCTCGTCTACTGAGATGCAGCTCCTAGCATCGCACTGAAACTCATCTGGTCCGCATTGTATCGGGGCTGGAAATAGGGGGTAGGATTAAGTAATCTAACATTTGGTTGGTATTTACTATTTATATTAGGGGACTACTTGAATGAAGTTCATAGTTAACAAGGTCTCAGAATGCGCTTCATAAATGAATTCGTTCGTAAACTCATGCTTTGTTTCAAAAGATTATTCGGACACAAGGAAACATTTCAAAACGTACCACACCCCATCTCGTCGGACGCATCCTCGCAGTCGTAATGGTAGTCACAGACCCAGTCCCTGTTTATACAAGTCCCGGCGGTGAGACAGGTAAACTGATCCGACGAGCACGTCATGTTACCTGTAGAGTGTAGACTGTAGAGGTTACTACTCATTTAATTCTAATCGTCCAGTTTTTTATCCATTGATTATGAGATTCTGTGGACTTATTTTTGGTCACTACGAAATCCATCAATCATACAGACAAATAACTTTGATCCCATTATTTTAGGTACTAAAAGGTAGAAGTATCGAACTGACTATGAAGCAGATCCTAACAGGGTTTATACTCCTGGGAGTGTTCTCAACTAAAATGGTCCAATCTTGTGAGATAAGTTCCAGTTCTCTCACATCTCATGGACCAATTATCGAAGTGACCTGCGAACCTAATCTGAACTCCACTCTAAAGACAGAGGACGGTTCTCTCCGCACTGGAAGTGTTTGAGAAGAGACTCACGGGAGAAGAGCTCAAGAGCTTCTTGAAAGTGGGACACAAAGGTACGTCCAACGAAACGTCTAAAACTCTTCTTGGTAAGCTAGTGGATGACACGAGAGAGGACTCGGCTGATGTTAAGGACTTGCGAGAAATTCAAATAGGTTGCTGTTGTTGGACGTTTGTGTGTGGGGACTGCTGTATTCACCCAGGCTGTAAAGTGCGCGAGAATGCTTGTAGAATTGTAGGTGTCAGACACCCTGATTACAAACAACTTTTGGATTTCGTGTTCAAAAGCTGAAGCTTCTACAATCTAGATGAAATTTTAAGCTAAGAATGAGTAAAAATAACTGATTACCTCAGGGTCAAGAATCATCATTGATAACAATCGCATTTATAAGTCTTGTTTCATTTCGTTATTGCCAGTTTTTTTGTACATGTATGTATCATATTTGGTCATTAACTGTCACCAACTTGCACGAAGACTATTGTGTGTTGTGATGTTTGATGAGTGTTTTTCAGTACCCATCTGGAGCAGGCATTATACTCCATTTGAACATTTAAAATATAATTTGGAACATGATTACAATAACGTTATCCAAATCTCAAACAAAAAAACAAATTTGTAAAGCTTTGTGTTTTGAATATATAATTGTGAGTATGGTGATGGTGATTTTGATTGCACGCTTAAAATTAACGGGCACCGCTTGAAACTACGGGCATGTCAAAAAAATGGTAAGTACTTACAACTTTATAAGTGACGTAAATAAAGTAAACATACCACAATCGAACTCATCACTTCCATCCGGACAGTGAACCACTCCGTCACAACTCTGCTGGAATGTGATACACGATCCATCCACACAGCTGATCTCTCTTGTCGGATCACATGGAGCATCTGGGAGTGTTTAGACAGGATTAACACGGGCCCACTTTCTTGGGGTGTTTTCAGGTTAAAACTGGGTATCGTTGGCATTTAAATTGATAAGTGAGATCTATCTCTTAGTTTATCTTCTAATTAATATTACTCTCACGTTATATTAGTAAGAAATAAAGACATACCACATCCGGTTTCATCAGAGTTGTCACCACAATCCACAATCCCGTCGCACTGATAACTCTTTGATATACAGCCCCCATCATCACACTTGAACTCGTCCGGGGTACACATTCCCACTGAATTATTGTGCATTATTAAATATTAACATTGGATAGGGGGCACGGACACAAATCTTATATTAGATTCTTTTGACAAGAGAAGCCAAATTTCGAAGATTTCTTATCTGATCAATAGAGCTCAGACTGTATGGCTAAATAACTGGGAATTAATTTCCCAGTAAGTACAACTTACCAGTGCATTGCTTCTCGTCACTGTTATCCCCACAATCATTCTGTGAATCACACACCAGCGACTCCACAATACACCTGTCGTTATCACAGTGGAACCCAACACACTCGTCTTCTTCAGACCTGGTGACATTATGACAGGATGCCTCGTCACTTTGGTCGGTACAGTCGTGTTCACCATCACATTTCCATGACAGTTCGATACACTCACCGGAGCCACAGGTAAACTGCCCTTCATCGCACGTACGATCTGAAAAGAACAAGGGTGATGTTAAATAATACCACTAATATGAGACTGAGAGTTTTGACTGTCGAAAGTTTTGACTGTCGAAAGATAAATTTTATCGGGCCGAATCGAAGGAATAGAAACAACAACAATGCGCGCACCACCTGGCCACGCGCGCCCGCGAAATTTGTGAAAATGGTTAACGATATAAATTTAATCACTTATAGTTTTTGTTTCGCGCGTTACATCTTTCATATAGTCTTCATTGGATCTGAAACCCTGGTTCTAGAGGTCGATTAAGACAGCTTCATACGAGAACTACCCAACCTTGATATTCCACGGCAAAAGATCAAATGAGTGATATACCTTACCTTTGATACATTTGATTTGCTTCGTCGAAACTCGACTGCCTCTCGATCGTTACGCCAGTCCAGTATAGAATTGGAGTTCGGTGATGTGAAGCCCCGGATTGGCGGTTTATCCGGCAAGGAAAGCATGAACGCCGTCATATGATGGTTGAAGCCATCATGCTTGGAGACTGCACGTATGTGCCAAGGTATACAGTTCCAGAGTCTGGGACCCATTACACTAAATGATTCTCATATAGAGTCTGATGAGCCGCTGAGCTTTTTTTACGGACAGATGGAACCTTAGCCAGGGTACCCAATCGTGGGTTTACTGTGAACTGTACTTCAAGGTCGTTGGATGTGAAACCATGCAGGATTTTCCACATGTGCATGACAATGTAACGTTCTCTGCGCCTCTGAAGTGACATGAGGGACAGGGTTTTCAGGCGACCCCAATAATGGAGATGCTGTAAACTATGGATCTTTGAAGTGAAAGTTCTTTGCACACTTTCCAGCTCCTGAATGTCATACACTTTCGCCGGATTCCACAAAAGCACAGAGAAGAACAATACTCTAAGTGGCTACGGACTACTGACTTGTATTGCGAGAGTGGAAGACACTGAATACCCATGCTGCCATCTTCCTCACTTTATCACAACTAGATCGTATGTGTGATGTCCAGGATGAATCACTGGATACTGTTATACCGAGATCACGGAGCTGATCCACAGGAGTGAGTATAGTACCAGTTGATGTTGTGTATTGGAACTGTTCATGGGTAAAAGGAAGCTCATAGAGAGGATTACGTTTGTTGGCAAGATGACATATTATGTACTCAAACTTATCCTCATGTAATGCCATATTGTTTCTTGATGACCACTTAGTGCCTTCGTTAAGATCAGACTCGTCTTCTTATCAACTGTGTTGTGATTACAGGAAATATGCACATATTTAAACTTTAATGTACAGCCTTAGATATCGTTAATAAGCTTATCCTACCAAAAATAACCAACCATGTGACCATTTGGTCATATATCTACCAAATCTTCTCATTTGATAGCCAAACTGGAGTTAGATACCGGTCATGAGTTATGATACGAGCGGTATATGGCCAAAGTAACGCACGAGTTGCTAAATAATTGGTTAATGGCTAAGTTTGATGTCCCCGTCTTTATGGATGATGTAACATCCTTATGACCTAATATCCTGATATCCAAATATTACGAATAAAAGAATAAACAATCCCCATCGTTAGAGTTAGTTAAAGCAGTTGATTCTTACAAAAGTTTAGCTACAGTAGCTCATTAAGCACTGGTCACTCGGCGAATCCAAGTGTCTTATTGGCGACCAATAGTTGAACATTGTTGATTGTTCTAAATGAACCTTGCCGGATAACTGAGCAGAAAATCGTGAATTAGCGCTTTAGTTACGCGAGGGAAGTAACAGTTCTGGTCCCCCACGTCAGCAAATTCAAGTATAATTCTAGTATAATCGAGTGTTGCGGAATTATCAGGAATGACCGGTTGCTTTCGCAGATAATTGAGTGCATTGTCTTAAGTTCTTCCGACTAAATCCATGGATAATCTCAACAATGGCTGTTTCTGTTAGATCTCAGGCCGGGAAGCTACCAGTAATTAAAACCACCATCATGTGAGGTCCAACAAATTGACTGACCACGTCAACCGCTCAGCTGACTACAGAATGGTGTTGATTGTTCTAGAAGGAAACGCCCAACAACAAATGTCACACAATTTGGCGTCAAGCCATTCCTACCTGCACTAACCGAGATTCCCCGCACAGGAGTGGACTGATCATGTGATATGACATTGACGTAAAGTAAGCCGTATAAAACATAATACGGTTTTGTTGCGGAGAGATTATAATGTTCACCGGGCGCGACCTGTCTTTGATAGATCTGTCAAGTTCAAATGTTGCACAATACTGTGCAGACTTTAGATCAGAAACCATTGTCTAAATCCATTATATGAACGATTTTATATCCGTCACACTCGTTTTGAAGATATATATCAACAATTAGACAGGATAGTCAGAAAGTTAAAGTGAAAGCAGTAGACTCTTGCTTAGTTGTTGAGCTGCATTGATCCCCGGAGACAAGATGTGGACGCTATATACCGCTATTAGTTGAGTTTATATCATGTTCACGATTTGTGCATTCTGTAACAAGCCGCATAATGTTATAAACTGTGCAAATATATTATCTTTACAGTTTTGAAACTATAATTGTTATCTATTTGTCTATGATTCTAGAATATGATACTTCCTACAAAGCTACAAGTATTAGAATCGAATAATCTGATCACTGTTATAAAATATAGATTATAGCAGTATTATCATGATTATAGTAGTAACTCATAACATTATATTTCTGGTTGTTCATCTGCCATCTTAATTATATAGTAAATATACCGCTGCTGTTGGATACCTCTACTATATTTGGTACTAATCAAGAACTTCCTAAATGTTGGCATTAAATACTTTAACCCTCCACCTAGCCATGTAACTACTTTATTGAGCAACTTCATTCTGGAGAGTTAGCCATCTGAAAGTCTCGTATATTATCTAATGTTGCGGGAAGATAGCAAGCTCCCCGTACAGTCTCAGATATCATATAATGGTGACTATAGTAACATGGTGACTATAATAACATGGTGACTATAGTAACATGGTGACTATAGTAACATGGTGACTATAGTAACATGGTGACTATAGTAACATGTTGACTATAGTAACATGTTGACTATAGTAACATGGTGACTATAGTAACATGGTGACTATAGTAACATGGTGACTATAGTAACATGGTGACTGTCGTAACATGGTGACCATAGTAACATGGTGACTATAGTAACATGGTGACTGCAATATCATGGTGACTATAGTAACATGGTGACTACAATAACATGGTGACTACAATAACATGGTGACTACAATAACATGGTGACTACAATAACATGGTGACTATAGTAGCTATAGTAACATGGTGTATACACTATACATGGTCGTTATAGATCAATACTCTCTACAAAATTAAATCACTGTCTCACCAGAAACTGACCATTCCTTTATGTTCCCTTAGAGGCTTAAACTACTCTTAATGCTTAAGTAGTTCCATTTCAAAGAGCTTATATCTGATATGATTTTAGTATAATAAGGACATTGTTCTAGTACAGGCGGAGATACACAACAACCTACTAGAGAACTCAACAATCTAATTCACTTGCACCTTGGGATGACATTACTTAGTACTGAAGAAAGAAGTCAACCCATATCACACGACACTTACCAGAGTAACTCAGCTTATTTTATGTAATATTCAAATCAATCACGGGATCCTTGCAGTGATTATACCTTCAACCTTTACACAGAAGATTTATTGGAACGTTCTAGAACCGACCACTTACAACTGTTCGGTGTTCAGTTTGCAGGACTGCAGCTTCTTTCTGACCCACCCCGTCAAACTTCTATCGGCTCAATGAATCACGTGACAGGGTGAACCTCAACCACGTGACTTACACCAGACCACGTGATTTACTCTAAAGCCTAGCACTCGCTGTTACACTTTGTTTTTATTTACACTCCGTCTTTGCCAAAAAGACATTCTGCCAGGGCGTGCACATTCCAACTGCCCTGCTGACAAGCCCGGTAAACTGTCAGCTACTTTTTTACTTGCGTCATTATTAAATATGGGTGTTCACAACGGACTGCGCGCCATGATGGGGTGAGAAATCGTGCACGTGCTTTTCAACGGCATCGCACAAACTATTTACACTTGTAAATTAACCAACTCTGCGGGATTGACACCTCGCGGTGCCATTAGACGAATATTCCGATAAAATGCTTGGCATATTTTGGTGGAAATTACCATTTCTAGTAAACCATATTTGGAGCAGTAAGGACTATCCAGTAAGGACTACCGACTATCTAGTAAGTGTCAAATTTATATAAAAATCTGTTCGGTGACAAAATTATCAGAATGATCTCAATTTGATCTTTTGGAGTATACTACTGATTCTAGAATTCATTTCTACAACTTTGTAGACTCCAGTTATTAGGTAATATAAATATTACTTGATTAAATTTGATAGTGCCTGGGTGGTCAGAGTATGATATTAGATTGGACAACACGAAAGTAAGTCATCCTGTCATATTTACTCCACTACTTAACAATCCCACTTCCTCAAGTTATTTATAGCGAGGCAGCACTGTAAAACAGGCGATCATTTCGCTTTTTTAACCTGTTAAATGTCGAAAACCTGTTTAAAGTCATTTAAACAGCTCATGGTTTGTAATCTTTGCCAGGACACATAACGTCATGAACATATACAAGAAGTATTGATTGCATTTCAAATTAAGAGATCCTCCACCACCTGACCACTTTAAACCACAACTTATTATAACCACACTTGTCACCTTCACAAGATAATCCATTATACGACAGCTAGATTGATTGCAGAGGGGCACTCTCTAAAAGTTGACATGGAATATATCCTGTCCTGAAAGAAATGACAGAACTGAGCAAGGCTATCAGTGTTGTGTGGCAAGATGTCAAAAGGTGTCACGTGGTGTCATAGGGTGTCACGTGGTGATGAGATTGCAGGAGGTATTTTGTCCGGTATTTATTTGTGAGATGATTCAGCGTTGAAATTTTGGTATGGTATTCGAATAATTTGACGGTTCATCCACCGCATATGAACCGCTACTAATTTATAAGAATTTTTAAATGAGGTAATCTTTAATTCATACCTCTAGGATGAATGATGTAAATGTAATCTACTTTGAATAGAAGAGCTTCATCAGATTATAACACGAAACCAAAACTCAAAAGATCTTAACTTTTGGGTTATGGTTCCAGTGTGTGTGACGTCATAAGTCAGCTGAATGAAACCAGTTACCGCCAGTAATACATCCCAACCTCTCCCATGACAATCATGTACTAAGCAGCATAATGTATCTCATTATACTATATTAGACACACAAGAGAGAGATACACGTTATTTTACAGCTCACTCTAACGTCCACTCAACATAATATCCAACTTAATAATGACCATTGCCTCAACTTTATAAGTAACAACCATTAGCAGTGTCGAAACGTATTTATGTGCCCCCCCCCCCCCCCTCCCAGTCTCACGTTCAAGTGGACGGGATAATACACAAATGGGACGTTTTCTTCTGAAAATACCAAAGATTTGGACATTTTTCGCCCCCCTTAGGTGCCCCCCGGGACGTGGTGGGGCGGTCGCCACTGACTATTACCTGGACTTTGACGTATTAACTTGGCACGTGTACGATGGAGAACAGATGTTTAATTACTCCGTGCTCCCTAACAGTTCTTTATATTACGTTACATAATATTACTACTACCACCTTCCTGGCTCTCTGCCAGTTCTACCCAAGCAGGCTAGGCGGGGCTCGTGACGTAATGATAACGCTAATCTCTATCACGTGGGGTGACTAATCATGCAATTACAATACCATGAATATTACTAAACTAGTGTAACCCGGCCTTCGGCCGCGGGCCGGGATTTCACTGCCGCAGTTAAAAAGGGTAGGAGTATTTACCCGCTGTCAGTAACACATAATCGCATAATCAGTTTTTTCTCGTGGATAATTAAGTCATTATTAGGCACCACATTCCATGATCATGAGGTCCGTACACCCTGTACCACGACTATTTCACCTCATCACTCCCATCTTGAACCGCTTTCCATTAATAAGCTTATAGTATTATTTGCAGTTAACCTAATTATGACTTATGTACCAACGCTGGCTATGCAGTAATAGGAGAGAGAGCAAAGAGGGAGAAAAAGTGAGCCACATTTGTCACTTTGTGGTACAAAACTATCAATAAAACCACTTACCAACGGCTGATTTAGAAAACATTTACTTATTGGCTTCGTCAGAGTTTTGTCGGCACTATACCGAAAAAACCAGTCCCGTAACTCTTACCGTTTTTTAAATAAGCCGCTCGGAAATTTCCCGCACACGTACATACATACACTCAGAATTAAATTGTGGTCTGTTTGGAATGAGTGAGTTCAACTGCGATAGTGAAGTCCCGGCCGTAGGCACGGGTTACACTAGTATTATTATATTATTATACTATCATATTATTATATTATTATGTATAAGATAAGAGTAGACACTCACTGCAGTCAGTTTCATCGGACCTATCAGCACAGTCTACTTCATCATCACACCGGAATATGAGGGAGATACAGAGACCGTTACCACACTGCCATTCATTCTCCTCGCACACTTCCGGCCCTGAGTATATTATACAGTTCTTTTATTCGGATCAAAGTGGGATCTGGCAGTAATAATGGGATATTGCCAAAGTGTTTTAACTTTTGGGCTATGTGCCAATATTTACCTTACCACAAACCAGTTGAAGACAGTTTAGTTTAAATATGGGATTATTACTTTAATGGAAACCGGAGAATTCTGGTAAGAATATTATGAGAACTTCTTTGATGGATGATTGCCATGTCATGACGGGTTCAGAAGCGGGGAAACTGTAAATGGCTGATCCTTCTCACATACAATGTTCTTCTTAACACAAAAGAGATTCCATCAGCAGGTGTGCGACATATTATTCCTTTAAGAAAGTATTTCAAAACGTTATAAATGTACAAACCGTTGTATTGACAGTCAGCTTCGTCATTCCCGTCATCACAGTCGGCTGTTCCGTCGCAGAGCCAATGTAGCAATATACAGGATCCGTCTGAACACTCATATTCATGTTCTTGACATCCCTCGGCCTCAGCTGGTTCCACCGCTGTTGAGAGAGTTATCGGTGAGATTATAGCGCAGGTAGTGTGTACAAGAATCCACACTAAAGTTTGTGGATCACATTGTAAATCATTAAAAGAACAATTTTCAATCATATTTAAAGTGGTGTACTATTTTCAAAACTCTTTAAATTTGGTTTTTGACGAAATAAAAACAGTGCTGTAATAAATAACATCATATTTAAAGTGGCGAATTATTTTCAAAACTCTTTAAATTTGGTTTTTGACGAAATAAAAACAGTGCTGTAATAAATAACAATAAACATCAACCACAACTGTATAATCATTTGAAGAGTGGTAATATAGAAATGAATGGACGGTACTTTTAATCTATACCTACATGATTGCACAGAGCCCAATGATGCGCACGCAACAGCAATCTGAAATATCATTTTTATCTGGCTGTTCACGGAAAGCGATCACACAAAAAACATTTTGGACATCAAGTGTTATTAGAGAAACAGTAATTGATTAAGTTTACATAAGAATCCTCAAGATGAATCACAATTGAAGCTTGGTGCAACTTACAAGAAGACACTGATTCAGCATGAAAATTGTATCCTATGTTGATTTATCTGCAAGGTTTTACTTCAGTTCTGCTTGCTAATTTTAGACTATTTCTAAAATGTTGGATAATACTCTTTGACTTCAGAATTTGTTTACGTTGCTTTCTCAGAAAGTACCTAATACCTATTACCTAACTTTGCTGCAGGAGGAATAAATGGTTAGTTTCAATGAAACAAGAAATTCAATTTCTTTTTCAATCATTTAACAGCATGAATCATGATGCTAATTAGGGTTTAAAGTGTCTATTAGGCTATAGGCACTTTTTGGTTACTATGCATCAAAACAATAAAATATAAGTGCGAATGTTGTATTATCGTATTCAAAATATACTCAATTTTATCCCACATTTCGTAACAGCTATTATGCAAAGTAAAAGGAATATGAGTGTTTACAAAAACAGTGAGTTTTAAGTTTAGATATATGACGCATGACTTATGGCAGAAATAACCTGTGGTTGCTTACATGTACATATCACATGATTTCTGTAGCATCTAAGATGTACATTAGTAATTAATCAGTTAAACAAAAACCTGGAGGGTGCGTCCCCTCATAAGTCAATGCTCAGTCTGTGCAACCACATGTACTATTCAAACAGCTGCCTCTTTAAGTCAATAAACATTTCTGATATAAGCATAGATGCAGTGCATATGAATGGAATATGATAAACTACACATAAGTTTAACTGATAATCTTTGGATAGGATGTGCATGTCTTATGTGTAATCTATTACTTTTATCGTGTTGATAACATACAAATTTAGGCACAGGAACAAGCCCTGCTATAGCCAACCAAATATATAAAGAATAAAAATGATTTTACCCAATACTGTAAATCAGTACTATAATGGCCTACAACACCAAATGACAAAGATAAGATAATGATGAAAATTTTGATTGTAGCTGTTAACAAGTTAATAAACTTTTCGATTGTCAATATTGAATAAACATGATGCATTTATAACGATGATGATGTCAAATGTCAAAACACGATATTTATATTTGCATACCAATATTGCATGCTATCATCAGTCGAAAAACAATCGTAAATAGTGAATAGTGAACAAATGAATTTTATCGCAGTACACAAAACACAGTACAAAGAATTAGTAATGACAAATGACATTATTATGAATTTACTAAGACATACACTTTTACTCGGCTCTAGGTAATCTATTTTGCAACAATAAATGCAAATGTAAAATTCTTAATGATTCGACATAATTAAAATGCATATAGATTTCAGATTTATAAATTTAAGCGTTGCAACACAGCGTTTATTACTTTTGACTTTGCAGCGCTCAGCCTGTCATTCCGCCTATTCTTTATTATGATTATGAACATAAATATAATAGCCTGGGGTCCCCAAGTAAAGCGTTTAATGTTTAATTGTAAAAAACATAATAAATCGACGTTTGTAAATAATTTCAAATTACGTTTATTTTTGTATAAACGCGATGCGTTACTGTGCCGCGCCGCGCACTCAATGAGGTTTCTCGCTAGATCGGCGAAATACGCTACTGTGCCGCGCCAAGCTGCGATGAATTGACATCGTCAATTAAATTTTATATATTTATAAAAATAACGGTATGCATGCGGTGCTTCACATAGCCATGTGTCTACGCGTACTGCGTGACTACGGCGGTCGCGCGCTACTGCAAGCGAGAGGGCTCTGGTTAGAGCAAATGCGGTGCCGCGCGAATTTTTAGCAGCAGTTAGCCAATAAGTTAACGGGTGATACTCGTAAAATATTTTTTCCATATATTTGGACCGTTGGTCCGTCGACGAGTCCAACTCGGCGCGCGTCATGGTAGGTTGTAAACAATTTTTTTTTCTTTACAAAACTTTTTTATTAAAAGTTAAAAACTAAGTGAATCAGAACAAAATCAAACATTTTGACCGATAACGCACAGTACACGCTAAATCAGACATGGCGCGCGCAAAACATTTTAAATATTTAATGACAATATATAATTGTTACTTAGCACAGCTTGTCACGTCATTCCATTTGCATAGCGCGGCGCTCTTTTCATTTTGCATGTTGTATATAGCGCGATTCGCTACTGTGCTTGCTGAGCTGCAATAAATTAACATCGTTAATTAATAAGGCTCAAAAGCAAGTAAATAATTAATATTACCAAAAAGTGGGATTTTTTGTATCGCGTCGTGACCCACACTATTTCAACGATACAGGGGAGCCGCGCATTCGTGCGCGGCAGGTCATACAACGTATGACAAGGATTTTTTGTAATAAATAATTTTAAATAGAACTTTTGTTTAAAAACAAACTTTTTGAGTTTAAATTGGGTTATTAAAATTTTGCATTGATAGCATCATTGATCATGCATGATAATTTTTGTTTATTTTTTATATTAATGAGGCATGAAAATACTGCACATTAAAATTGACGCGCGCCTGATCATGCAGTTTATTAAAATAAACAAATAGTTAAGTATCTAAAAATTATTTAAATATTTTGCATGTTGGAAATATTGAAAATATTGCTCATAAACTTTGTATTCTTGTGTAAAATTGTATTAATCCCGTTTGATGTGACAAGGAAAAATGCTTTTATCAGGAAAGGTATTTACTCAACGTTTTAATGTTACAACATCGTATTCATGATATGATCTAAAAATATATTTCTATAAAAAATTCAAAACGCAAACTTAATATTTTTTCTGGTATTTGATTATTCAAACAATAAACAAGAAATGTAATAAATTTGCACAGACGCTAACTTTAATTTAATATAAAGTTTAGTCAAATTAGTTGTTTTATTCATTATCAAATATTATATTTTTATTTTATTATTTTTTAAAACTATTATGGACAATAGACAATAGATAATACAAAAGCCAGGCAACAAGCCAATGCCAAAAATAAACTTAACTAGGGACATTACGGAATGAGATACCGTGATGTGATGAATTTTATCATATTAAACTCAGACTGCTATTTGACTGCTATTTAAGAATTATCCCCAAAAAAAGAAATTATTATTAAATCTAAAATAGCTAATAATTTAATAAATTATTAACAGGCCCCTTAACGTGGGCAATAATATACGCTTTATAAATTATATAAACAAATTGCAGTCTATTTTTCCAATGTTGTTAAGTGTCCCTTTAGATCTGTTTTGGTGTTTTGTGGGAGTTCCCACATTTGTTGGTTGAGAATGCTCAACATAACATACATGATGCTTGACTGCTTTATTGACCCGGACAGGCACCGGGGGCAGACATCCCAACACCAGTGCGTTGGGACATAGTGTTGGTCTGCTTCAGGACGTGTTAGATCCTAGAGAAGCCGCCATCCCCTCTACTGCTTTAGCTCAGCGGCAGCATGAGCCCTGGTTTCCTGCCACATTGGTACCTCTGAAAGTACAGAAAAGTGGTGGATTTCGGGGTCCAGGATCCTCCCTCTTTAATCTTTACGGTGGTGTTATTTCTCTGAGATGTTTGCAGAGTCTTTATTTTATGATCTTTCTAGTTTAGTTGGATAAATCCTGGAGAGCATCATTTTGACCCCAAAGAAATTCGACTCTTCTAATGAATGCTTTTTGTGTGCTGCTTTTTGTTAACACTTCATCTAGATAGGAATGTGAGTCAGCCCCACCCAGCTCTTCTTTTAGCTGCAGGTAACTGGTGTCTTGCACCTCCAGACACAATAGGAGCTGGTGTACAGGAGAATCATCGAAGCTGTTGCAGAAACGACAGGCCTCACCACTGTCACCACCCATGATCTTTTGGATATTCGCAAAGAGTGGTGAGCTGCCGTGAATGTAGTCCATTATTCGGCTGTCCAGATTTTTACTCGTGTTGTGCCCGAATAAGAAGTTGTTTTTGTCTAGGAGCAGCCCACTGTTTTTGATCTTTGTGATCACACCAAGTATCTTGGTCTCCTTGTTGTTACTGACAGTTCTGCATTGCAGATTTGTTTCGATGCTGTCAATCCAGATCTTATTTTTGTAGCTCATTATGTCTGCCTGAGTGTAATAGGCCAGATCCTTGAAATGTTGCTGCGTTAGGTCTATCATTCTGGTTCCGTGTGACTTATTTTCTTTCCAAAGGAAGTACATGAAGGTTACACGTGTTCCTTGAGGAAACCCTGCCTTCTAATCTGTCAGGCAGACCCACCTGACAATCACAACACTAGATCAACCAAAATTTTTAACATTTTAACCCCAAAATTCAGAATGACTGACTTTACTACTAGTGTAATGTGCTTGCGAGGTAAGCTAAAACGTGCGCTATTAACGAATCAACATAATCACGCCCTGCTTGATTGGACTGTCAAAGATTTTGACTGCGCAAATCTTATTTCCCAAACATTATAACTGGCTGGTCACACACATCTCAATTAAAATTACCCTAGGCTACTGTTTTCCAAGTCTTGTCCTGTGAGTAAAGTATGTGTGAGAAAGTTTTAATAAAATTATTGTATATTTACTTTTGAATTTTAAAAATCTAATTTGAGAATGAAGTTTAAAGAAATTTTAATTAGCACTGTATAGTTTAAGATATTTATAGCTTATTATAACCATTGTTACAAAGGCCATAATCTTTCGCCAGCTCTCCAATATCCACCTTGAAAGCTTGAAGCTGCATTTTATATCCTTGAACTACACAATATAAACCAAAGAATGTTTTAGTGTAGACTTTTTGTCACAACAAGACTGCAACCTATAATAACAACTATAAACAGAACCCCTAATGTCTGCTTACAATTTTTCTTCTAGTCCTAATCTGAGCCTTGTCTCTATAAACTTAACTGAACTAGCGTTTCAGTGTGTGCAAAAGCTTCCAGGCACGCGCATTCCTTGCCCCGTTAGTTACCTGTCCTTCCAAAACCAAACTAGCAGTCAAGGACAAAAAGTCATACACCAAATGGGCATTATATTTTATGAATTGTTTTACATCTTTTTATTCTGTAAAAATGTGCTAAAATTAAATTTCTTGTTTCATTGAATTTCTTGTTTCATTGACTTTTTTAGTGACATTGTTAAGACATGAAAGCTTGGTATTCTGCTTTCGTCAACTTGGTAGAGTGTAGCTGAGAGGTTGTCACCTTGTGTGAGTACTTTGCACATGAATTTAACCGAAAGAGCTTCGAGTTGCACATCCAGTGGTGGGAGGT